AATATAATATACTGGAGGCCCGGTGCATGAAAATTCGTGCACTCGGGGGGTCCCTCAGCCTGGCCTGTGCTCTCTCACAGTCTGGGACCCCTCGGGGGATGTCCACCTGCCAGCTTAGGCCCGATCCCCCCGGGGAGCAGGCCTAAGCTGGCAGTCAGACATCGCTCTGGATGCCCAGGAGCCCTCGGGGCATGTCTGACTGCAGCTTAGGCCCACTCCCCGCGCTGGCCTAAGCCAAGTTGGACATCCTTAGCACTGCCAAGGAGGCGGGAGAGGTTCCCGCCATCACTGCTGTGCTCACAGCCATCAGCCAGATTTGTGGCCAAGCGGAGCTCCCCCTGTGGGAGTGCACTGACCACCAGGGGGCAGCTCGTGCATTGAGCATCTGCCCCCTGGTGGTCAGTGTGCGTCATAGTGACCGGTCCTTCCTGGCCTTGGGGTCAATTTGGCATATTACCCTGTTTATTAAACAGGATGTCAACAGTTTCCCCTCCTCTGTAGTTTTCTCCTTGCAACTTACTTGTGTTTTTAGAAAGAGTTATTGCTCCTAAAAGTCCCCTACATTCTGGACTTCGCTGATTCCACCTGTGCAGTCTTGTTTACTGTGTGCCTCTGTCCCTTGAGTTTCCTGTGAATCAGAGGCGGACTCGGATTTGGGTTTTTTGTATTTAGAGAATGCTCCGTGGGTGATGCCATGGGCTTCCATCAAGAGGCACCTGTCCTTTCGATGTTAATAGCTGTTGGTGGTGATTGCCTCGGCCCATTAACTCATTAGGACTTACGAAAGGGTGCCATCCTCACTCTCTGTCACTCTTCCTTCGCTATCTGTGACAGAGAACTTCCCCTGGTCAGCGCGTGGTTATCCCAAGTTGCAGTTCTCAGGGGTGCCAGGGGCAGCGCCTCATTCTCCCTTTATTTACCAGACACCAAAGCAGTGAGTGGTCCAGGCATCCTCTGCTCTGAGGAACTGAGGTGGTTAAAATTTTCTGAACTCGTGCATTCAAGTTTGCGATGGTCTAGCTCACGGCCGGTATTCTTGATGATGCCCAGGTCCCATCCCTGACTGGTGAAAGCTCCATGTTTCCGGGTTCCTTTTGAGGTGACCCTGAGCCCTTTGGTGCTTTCCCACTTTCTGGTATGAAAAGATGCTCGAGGCCTCGTCTTGTGCTCATTGATTGATTGATTTTAGGTGATGGCTTTATTGAGATGTAATCCCCATGCCATACGATTCACCCATTTAAAATGTACAATTTAATGATTTTCGTGTATTCACAGAGTTGTGCAATCATCACCACAATTTTAGAACATTTCATCACTTCAGGAAGTAACCCCAAACCTTCTCCCATTTCTTCCCATTTCCCCATCCCCAGGCAGCCACTGACTACTTCCTGTCTCTAGATTTGCCTCTTCCGGACCTTTCGTATAAATGGAGTCATGTACTGTGTGGCCTTTTGTGACTGGCTCCTGTCACTTAGCATCATGTTTTTAAAGTTTATCCGTGTTCTAGACTGTATTACTACTTCATTTCTTTTTATTGCCAAGTAATATTCCATCGTGTAGACACACCACCTATTATTTATTCATGGACAGCTTGACATTTGGGTTGTTTGCCCTTTTTGGCCATTACGAGTAATGCTGCTGTGAACGTTTGCATACGAGGTTTTGTGTGGATGTATGTTTTCATTTCTCTTGGGCACACACCTAGGAGTGCAGTTACAGTAACTGTGCTTGACCGTGTGACAGACTGCCAGGCTTCCTTCCAAAGCAGCTGCCTCGTTTCACTGCCCAGCAGCCGTGTGAGCGTCCGGTTCTCCCCTCCCCACGCTTGTCGTCGTCGTTTTGAACCTAGCACCCCTAGTGGGTGCAGTGGGACCCTTGCGGTTTGGATTTGCATTTCTCTGATGGTTAATGATGTTGAGCATTTTCGTGTGCTCGTTGGTCATTTGTGTATCTTTGGGAAACTAACAGTGGGCACCAGAGCCGGACTTGGATTCCTCCAACGTCATTGAAGATGGAAGCATCTCTGGGGTCATTTTCAATGGAATAAAATGGACATAGAAATACAGTCCTAGGGATTTAGAAGTCATTTCCATTCAGGATCCAAGGGAATGCCAAGGGGTCACCACTGGCGTTTCGGTGACCTGGCAGTTGTCTGGTTCACAGTCACGGCTGTGGACGCAGTCTTTCCTCACCTGCCCCTCAGGAGGACTTAAAAGTGTGACATCTTCTCGGGGACCTGCCTTCTGTCGGGGGAGTGGGGCTCTCGCCAGGTCACCATGGAGGGCTCTGAATGAGATTAGGGTGTTGGCATGGTAGCGACATATGTGCACACTCAAGGGTCCTCTGTCTGTGAAGGTGAAGGCCAGGTGAGACTAAAGGCCTCCACTGGTCTCTTCGGGCTGGCTGGGTGGTGAAAAAGAAAGCTGCCCCTCTCACCCCGCTCCCGCGCAGGCCAGCGACGGGTGGGACGCAGAGCCGCTGCCTTCTCCACAGCCATGAGGTCGTCTGGAACGCAGTGCGTGCTCGCACATGTCTGCCCGTCACTCCGTGATGCTTTTTCCAGCGTTCGTTAGTTGAGTTCATCCAGCTGCTTCTCCAGAAAGATGACATTCTAATTATAATTGCTCATGATTCAGTGAAGAATTTGTGGAATTTTTCCTACGTCAGCAGCTGCAAGTACGCAGGCTTCTCTCTGTTCCCTTTGCCCTGCTCATAAAGCATGAATGTGGGGTGTCCACCGTCCTGTGGCCTGGCCTCTGGCTCCCCCTGATGCCACCATGCTCTTCTGTGTGGTCTGGGGACAACCTTAAAGGACAGGTTGCTTTCCCTTCCTCCCCTGGCCGTGGGCCGCAGCCTGCACTCCACTTGCCAGCTCTCCATGTCAGTAACCCCAGCCAGGGAGCTCTTCCTTACGGATCTGTGGGATTTCCTTTAACTTGTAAGTTGTGATAACAGGAAAATAGTGACCTTCTTTCTTTGTCCAGTACTTGGATTGCAGAGATCTCAGTTCTCTGTGTGTCTCTGAGAACAAGCGTCACTTGATAGACGGTGACACGGCGCTGGGTCCATGGGTCTGCCTGTGTGTGCTGACGTTCTAAATGAGTATTCCAGAAGTAATGCATGTGACGCATGTTCATTGTAGAAAAGTTAGGACAAGTGGAGAATCAAAAACAGTGTATTTATTCCTCGTCTTTCCATGCTGTCAAGTGCTCTTGTTGTGAGTTGGTTCTTAAAGGCAATCCAATGGTCCATCGTTTAGTTCTATTGTAATTTATGTAATCAGTGCCTCGCATTGAATATTTAATTATGGAAGATGGAGCAGTCTAATTGTATCTATTACATAGGATGCGGTGATGGCCATCGTTTCTGGTTTAATTTTTACACACATCCATGACATTTTCCTTGGCTAAATTATTATAAAAATAATGCAGATATTTAGGGTCCTTGGTATACACTGACAAGTCGTCCTCTAGACAAGCTGTCCAAAGCATTACGCCATTTGCTAGGCCTGGGAGTTTCTATTTTAGTACCACCAAAGCTGGAGACTCTAATGATTAGTGACTATTCCTGTTTACATCTGTGAACTTTGATACTTCTTTTTTCTAGTTTTCTAGTTTGGTTGTTCTTGAAAAAATCCTGGCTCTAGGAAGGATGTTACCTCTCTGCCTTATCACATGGGTTGCGATTCCTGTGAGTGGCATTTTGAGTTTGGAGAGACGTTGCGACTGATTTAGGGACTCGTTGCTGCATTACCCACAGTGTCCATGCTGCCTCCTCTGGCTGTGACTTTCTAAATCAGACGTTCATGCTGGGATGTCCCTCCCCCAGAAAATGGATGCAGAAATTGTGGGGTTGTCTGTCCCCTGGAATACAACTCAGGAATAAGAAAGAACAGACTAATCGTGGCCACAAAAATGTAGGGCATACTGAGCAAAAGACAGAGCAGGGGCAGAGTAGACTGGGAGCTGGGCCTGGGAGCGCTGCGGAAATGAGGACAGTCCTGGGCACAGTTTCTCTTGGAGATGGTGAAAAGTCCTCAAATGGATTGTGTTGACAGTTGCACCACTCCATGCACAGGCTAAAAACCACTGAACTGTACATTCTGAAAGGCTGAATTTTATGGTATGTGAGTTAGATGCCCATAAAGCTGTTCAGAAAGAGAAAATGGACACAAAAGAGTACATACTGTGTGATTCCATTCACATCAAGTTCTAGGCAAAAGTGACCTGAGAAGCAAAAGTTAAAGAATGGAGTCAGGCAGATTGACGGAGCGGTTGGTGGAAATGATCTGTATTTTCTGAGTGGTTCTTACCGGGATATAGGCGATCGTCAAAGCTCACCTGGGGGAAATGCATTCCAATGAAAAACAAGTAGACCCTGATGCCATCTTTTCCTCCCCCGGCCCCTCTCCTGCTTCTCCTTCTTTTCTGTTTTAAAAAGTATTTTTTAAAGTTATTTCTTTGCTAGGTGGTATGCCCTTAATTAGCTGTCCATTGACAAAGATCCCAACCTGTCACCTCAGTATACCAGCTGCCGCCACACCCATACCCTGCTCACTGCAAAACCACTTCCCCCGAAGCCAGAGGTGTGGTCATCAGTAGGCCGCGTCCTGCACAGGATAGAACAGCTTTGGAGAAGTGAAGAGTAATTCTTCCACAAACGGACTGGAATCTGTTCTACCAGGGGAATTACATTGAGTGCTGAACCCAGTCATTGTGAGACAATGGGGTTTGTCATTTCCCCCTTCCAAGAGGAAGTACCTTGATGCATTTGAAACTTCTCGACATGCTCTGAAGATATTTTTGGAGGGCAGGGGACATTTTGGGAAGTCAGGCAGATTACCTAAGTCAAAGAATGCTTGCATTTATGGTGTGTGGGGAATCTGTAGGCACAAAGATGTGAGACTCGGGAGTAGATGGCATCTGGTTGTGCAAATTGTACAAACTCAGCAGTGGGGACCCGTCCTTACGCCTCACTGCTTTCTCCTCTGGGGGGTGTAGGAGCTGGTCAGACTTACCATCGAGAAGCAGGGGCATCCGTCTCCAACAAGCCCAGTGAAACCCAGCTCCCCAGCCTGCAAACCCGAGGGGTAAGTGCTGACTAACCCTCCAGCCACGGTGCTCACGTTGGCTCTACACTCGAATGGTAGCCAGATCGGGCTGCCCACGTCAGGCAGGTTGTTTGAGGCCCACATTCCTTTTCAGTGAGTTCCGGTAAGTGCCTGTGTTACTCTAAAGTGTGTACAGTTCACACATGCCTTGAAGTATTTCCTGGTCTCAAGGTTAATGGTCAACGGGACTCTTTCTAAGGATAGTGTGTGAGTGGCCCAGTGACCCACACTTTCTGTTTCTTGACCACCGTTTTCTAATTGGAAAGAACTTTGGGAAGAAGGTTGGGTTTGGGGGATTTGACTTTATCTAATACAAGCCCCTAGTACAGACATAGAATAAGTGTGGAGCATTTTAAAAAGCCTTTAGATCATCTCATTGAAGGATCCCTTTTACAGACAAGGAAACTAAGATGCAGTCAAGGGGACCTGGCCAGGCCTCTGTTGTTTGTTGGTGATCAAACCACACTTGCAAGCCCACCTCTAAGTCATCTGCCGGCCTGGTCACATCCTGTGACCCTCTTGGGACCTGTGTGCTCTGTAACCTTCTGTAACCCGAGTTCTTTGCAATTCTCAGCCAGTCTGAGCTCCCCCTGACAGACAGAGAGATGGAGATTCTGAACAAGACAACCAGCATGTCACAGTCGACCGAGCTGCTCCCAGATTCTACTGATGAAGAGGTCGCGCCCCCCAAACCCCCACTACCTGGCATTCGGGTGGTTGATAATAGGTAATTCTCTATTTTCCCAGCACTCGCCTCTATTTATGACATCATTTGATGAATGGATGGGTAGAATGAGGTGAAAAGAAGACAGTGTCATTAGGGTAAGAACTGGAGCCCAGCTCCTTGCTTTTTAGAAGCCTTGGCGGTTTGACCTTTCTCAGACGGGGCTTCTGGGAGACAGGGCCCAGCCCCAGCGCCCGCCTCCCCCACACTCCTGGAACTCCCAACAGCTTGCCTTTTAGCCTTGGCCAAGCGAAAACTGGTCCAATTCCTCACAAAAGGAACAGAAAGGGTTTTCTGGTTGTAGTTTTTTTGGCAGGTCTGATAGGTTTGTTTTGGCAGAAGGGGAGTGGGGCGGGAGTTGAAAGTGTGAAAAGTAGCTGTGAAGTGTCTTAATAATGAATAATGCTCTACCTTATATCTGTTTAAAGAGTTTTGTTTGGGCTGTTGGTCTGATGGGAATTCTTGATTTGCTTCAGTCCTCCGCCAGCATTGCCACCGAAGAAAAGGCAGTCGGCTCCATCCCCAACCCGCGTGGCCGTGGTGGCCCCCATGAGTCGAGCCACCAGTGGCTCCAGCTTGCCTGTCGGAATTAATAGGCAGGTAATGCAGCCCCATCGAGGAAGGCCAGCAAGGCTCTGGGTTGGGACTGTGTCTCCTCTGTCCCCTGCCTTAGTCACCACAGGCTCTCTCAGGCGCTGGAAGTTTCTCTGCAGGATGAGGGGTGGGGGCAGGGGGTGGGGAGGCTGGAGCCCAGGGCTCCGAGCACATCTGAGCTCAGCCCCTGGCCCTCCCCCACACACTCCAGCATTCCTGGAGGCTGCTTGCTGGAAGTCACAGGTGTGGCGTGTTCTGCTTACCTCAAAGGCTGGCCTTTCCCCCTGGTTTTCCCGGTGGCGGTAGATTCTTCTCCAAGTAAACATTCCAGTTCCCTCCCCCCTCTCTGCCACTGTTTCTCAGAAGTGACTCGGTTGTTTTATTTTTGCCCACGAGGATTTTGACGGGGACTGTTATGCCCAGAGGCGCCTGTCAGGAGGCAGTCACTCCTACGGGGGAGAGTCGCCCCGCCTGTCCCCCTGCAGCAGCATCGGCAAGCTCAGCAGGTCGGACGAGCAGCTGTCCTCTCTGGACAGGGACAGCGGGCAGTGCTCCCGGAACACAAGCTGTGAAACACTAGGTGAGCTGCCGGCGTCGTCACCCTCCTGTCTCATCGTCTGGTGGCTTCTTCGGGGTCATGTGGCGATGCCAGTCATTCAGAGCCTGGGCCTCAGTTTCCTCACCTGCACATGAGGGTACCAAAACCTGTCTCTGGAGGAGGTTGGAAGTTGAGATGAAGGAACGATGTAAAGATACGGACCCTGGGGAGATGCTCCCGTGTCGCTGTTACTACAGCTAATCTGTCGCTGTGCAATTTGACCCCCTTTGCCAAAATTAAGAACCATCTGTGCTCCGAGCTGTAAGCGAAGGAAGCCCCTGAGAGCTCTGACGGGGAGGCAGCTGAGCGGCTGCGCCCTTGTTGGTGCTGACCTCCTGCAGCGTGGGCCGGGGAAAGTCTGAAAGGCAGTTGGGTGCGAGGCTGAGAGCATCAGCCGCTCGTGTCCGTGAACTGGAGATCCCACTTCGGAGAGTTCACCTCCAGAACATAATCAGATTGACAACAAGGTTGCTGTCCAGGGACGTTGATCTCAGCAACATTAAGACCAGTGATTGCTGGGAATATCTGACTATTTTTTTTTATAAAAAGGGTTAGGAAATCAGGCAAATTATGATAAAGTGATTTGGTGGAATGATATACAGCTATTAAAAATCAATTGTGATCTATTGATCGGTGGACAAAATCCTAGACCACTTACACAGTTCAGTGAAAGAAAAAAGAATTCGGTGGGGAGGGGCCTTTTGAGGAAATACATCAAATTGTAAGCAGGTTACAGTTAGATTGCGGGACTTCGGGTGGGTTTTGACATTTGCCACATTTTCTGTAGTGATCGTGCATTTTCTTTTTATTTTTTAATCTTCACCCAAGGATATATTTTTTTTTAGTTTAGGGGGAGAGAGAGAGAGAGAGAGAGAGAGAGAGAGAAAGAAAAAGAACCATCAATCAAGTTGCCTCTCCTATGCACCCCAACCAGGGATTGAACCTAAAGCCTAGGTATGTGCCCTGACCAGGAATCGAACCGATGACCTTGGTGCACGGGATAGTTGCTCAACCAACAGAGCCACCCAGCCACAGAGCATTTTCTTTTTAACTCAGAAATTCAAAAAATACAGGAAAAAATAAAGGACAGTAGTCATATTCCCATCTGTTTTTGTTGTTACAAGCAGTGAGAAGAATGGAGAATATAAAAGAAAGCATGGGCCTGTCTAGAGGAGACAGGAGACACGTTTTTTGTCCCGCTGTACTGAACAGGATTGGGCAACAGCGGGGGGTGTGGTCCTTTCTTTCTGTGGGGTCTTGTGGCTGACAGGTGTGTCTTTCCTGTTGTGAATGCAGATCATTATGATCCTGACTACGAATTCCTTCAGCAAGACCTCTCCAACGCAGACCAGATACCTCAGCAAGTGGCCTGTAACCTTAGCCCGTTGCCGGAGGCCTTGGGAGAGTCTGGGTCTCCATTTCTCGGCCATCCTTTCCAGTTGCCTCTTGGCAACTGCCCCCAGCCAGATGGGCCCTCAGCCCCAGGGCAGCAGACGGACACGCCGCCTGCCCTCCCCGAGAAGAAGCGCAGGAGTGCGGCCTCCCAGACCTCGGACAGCTCTGGCTCCCGCGTGTCCTACGAGCGGCACCCCTCCCAATACGACAACATCTGCGAGGACGACCTGCAGAACCCAGCCTTGGTGCAGCCCGCCCCCTTCACGCCCTTTGCTGCTATTCTCCCCTTCCAGCAAGGAGGGTCCTCAGCCTCTGTCGACTTTGTGAGTGACTTCACTGCTCCTGAATCAGCGGGTGACCCAGAAAAACCGCCTCCTCTACCAGAGAAGAAAAACAAACACAGTAAGCCTTGTCGAGCTGTCAGGAGGCACATTTTGTCACCTAAATTGGTGGTATGTTATGTGTAATTAGACCAGAACCAAACCACTGGGTTCATAAGTTCATAAAAGGTAGAACACAGGTACGTGGGCACTTCTGGGAGCCTTGTTATGTCACGTCAGTACTGGTGATTGATTGTAAAGCCTGGGAGGCTGACCTCTTTATGGCTCCTGTACAGTCTCAGGCCTGGTCTCCAGGAATTTGGCCTCTTGTAGATGGAAGTCAGTTGACCTCCTGGCCTGAATACATGGTGACAAAGAGAAACAAGTGTCGGGGGATTCAGGGCACCATTGCAGCAAGATGTGGGTGAAGCGGGAAGGCATGTGAATGTCAGGAGACTTCCTGCAGCCCCACAGGGACTCTCTCAGGGTCCCTGAATGGACCAGTTATTATAATATACTAGAGGCCCGATGCACGGCTGCCTCTGCCTCGGCTTGCGCCCCCGCCCCCTCCAGAAGGTCATCTGGTCTAATTAGCATATTACGCTTTTATTATTATAGATGATGTTATTGGGGCCCAGGGGTGGGGCTGAAATTGTGGTCATATTTTGAATATTTCAACTGTGTATTTGCCATCATACTAAGTAGAGTTCCACTGGACATTATCTTTTCTGCTGGTTCCCCACTGCTCCACGCTGCCTGTCTGCCTCCTGAGCCCTTCCCACTTCACTGGCACAGCTCTGCTCCGTTTTTCCTGGCAGCCTGCTGTCACCATTTAGATGTGTGTGTGGCCACGTCAGCCCCACACAGGGTTCCCCGGCCTCAGGTGCCAGATCCAGCAGACAGCGTCTGCATTGCAGGTTCCCCAGGTCGGGCCCCTCTCAGACAAGAGGAGGTCTGGCCCGGTTAGCCGCAGCAGGACTGACCCAGGGCCATGGGAAGGAGGGCCCACCGAGGATGGATCGTGTACATTGCCTCGTTAGAAACCCAGGGCCCTTAGGAGGAAGCTGCAAATGGCAGCACCAGGAACACAACCTCCTTCACCTCCCTCCGCAGAGGTTCTCAGAGCTGTTGGCCCTCCCCTCCCCCGCCTTCCCTTGTCTTGAGCAGCATGCTGATGGGACTCACACCTTTCCTTTCCTTTCTGGAATCCTCTGAACCCAGAACTCAGGGCAGGATTGCATCTGTGCAAACCACATGCGTGGTGCTGCCTGGCCGAGGAGCCAGGACCACCCTGCCGGCCTTCAGGACAGGTGCAGGCGGCAGTCCTGTGGGGTGGTGAGAGGGAAGGGAGGGAGAGGTAGCCACTGTTTTCTTAGAACAAGCAATTGTCCGGCAATGTTTCTATTAACTTAGGCTTCGTTTTACGCATCAATGTCTGTAGCGCTTGTGCCTGCAAACCTGTCGAACCTGCCGAGAGCTTGCGGGGTCTGGGCTAAAGCTCCACACGCCTGCATACAGCTCCTTACTGCACCCTGGCCGGAGCGGGGTCACGAGCTTCCGTTTTATAGCTGAAGAACCCGGAGCCCAGAGGAACTGAGCCTTGCCCAAGATCTGGGCTGCAGAGCAGGCCTGTGCTCCCAGCGCGGTGCCCTGCTCCCACTCTGACAGGCAGGGAGTCCCTCCTCGCTGAGACCCCGTTCAGGTGGTGACCCCGTGCAGAGGTCATCTTTTCTGGGCCCTGTGAAAGGACCCCAAAGGACTTGCGGCTCTCTAGGGCTTGGTCTTTCACTTCCCGAGGGGCCCTCTGCCAGCTCCAGCCTGCAGCTCGTCACAGTAGCTGAAGGAGAGGAGGAGGTAACCGTCCTTAGGTTTGTGATGCAGGCAGAGCTCAGCCACACGCGGTCCTGTGTCACAGAGCAGCCTCGTCCTTCAGGTGCACTGATGTCCCCAGGTGCCCAGCCCCTTTTGATGAGGGCAGCCCCACAAGGCCCTTGTGCCTGTCTGCCCACGGTCCCGGGTGCCGCTGGAGTGCCAGCCTGCCCCGGGAAGCGGGCCACTCTGTCAGGGAGCCCTAACACCAGGCTGCCTTAGAAATGGACTGGCAGGTCGTCGGCGTCACTGCTGTTGCTCTGTGCTTGGTCACAGGAGGTCACGTCTCATCCAGGTTTCCCTCGTGGCCAGGCGGTGGTGGTCAGTCCTCTTAGGGAGCAAGTGGGCAAGACCTTTGTAGACCCCAGAGGAGTCGGTTGTGCAGCCGCAGCAGCTAGTCTTTTGGGGGAGGAGGTGTCTTTGCCCGCCTTTGACAAACAAGTTCCACACGGTGCTTGTGGGAGCTAAGGCGTTCTTATTGGTCCTTTTAAATAAAGGTGACTGCCAGAAAGACACACCTCGAGAGAAGTTCCTGTCTACCTTGACCCCAGAGGATGCGGAGAAGAGCAAGGCCGCCTCGCTGCCTTTGCGCCTGCTTTCTTCAGCTCAGGGTCTAGATCAGTGGTTCTCAACCTCCTGGCCCTTTAAATACAGTTCCTCATGTTGTGACCCAACTATAAAGTTATTTTCGTTGCTACTTCATAACTGTCATGTTGCTACTGTTATGAATCATAATGTAAATATCTGATACGCAGGATGGTCTTAGGCAACCCCTGTGAAAGGGTGGTTCGACCGCCAAAGGGGTTGCAACCCACAGGTTGAGAACCGCTGGTCTAGATCCTTTGGTTTGCTGACTGGTTTGGGTCTCCAGTTAAGCCCTGACTTTGTAGTTGTTTGAAATTACAAAATTAAGCTCTACAAAGTTGTCCTTGCCACTTCTTCCTGGTATCTGAGTCTCAGCTCCGCCCAGCACGTGCTCGTGGCACTTGTGACGGGACCCAAGGGGAAGCACCCCCTCAGGATGGTGACTCGGATCTGCCACCCCTTCGCCTGCCGCACAGGGACTTAGGTTCCTTTTCTTTCCAGCTCTCACTGCCACTTCAGCTCCCCTTAGTGTGCATGCAGCAACTCTGTGTGTCCCGGGCAAGGGCATAACAGTGCCTTTCCCTGCAAACATTGGACACGCATGTGTACAGCATATCCTGACACCTGGGCGCTGCCCCAGCTGCCTGGACAAGGGGAAAGGTGCTGCAGGATTTCAGGCTGCCTGACCGAGACTTTGCTGTGGGAACGTCAACTGCAGATCAGGTCACAGAGGTGGATGGGGATGGGAGAGAGGGCTTCTGCTACAACCGCCTTCATGGCTTCGTAGGTTTGCCAGGTGTCTGCGCACGTCTGTTCCAAACCGTCGCTTCTCCCAGAAGCCTCTGGAGTCTTCAGAACGGCCTGGCTCTGCAGGTGGGGCTCAGGTCACTAACAGCGAGAGTCAGGAATACAGTGAACACCTTTTACAACCCCCGAGTGAGTCCTGAGGGCTCCGCACCTGCCTCCAGAGAAGGTGCCTCTGAGGATGAGGTCACTGAGATGTGAAGGCTGAGCTCTTTGTTCTCTGACATCTCACCTCCTGCTTGGTGAGGTCCCTGCTGTTGTCTGCTTGGAGGTCTCTGTGGGTGCTGTCATGCTGTGCAAGTGAGAGAGCCTGCCCCTTCGCGCAGGCAGCTCCACCAAGGGGTAGCAGCGTGGCATCAGATGGCGGTGGTGGCAAGGGCTGGGGTTTCCCAGAGGGTTGTTGGGGGCGGAGGGTGTGTGCATTTGAATCTATGCCCTTTTCTCCCCTCCTCCCCCCAGGGATTTTCTCTAGCCTCAGCTGGAAGGGGAGAGTGGGGTGGCGTTGCTGTGTTTCTTGTATACCCAGTGGGTGCATTACAAGTCCCACCCCAGTGGCTCAGCCTGGCAGTACTGAGGGACACATGTTCCATTCATTTCTTCATTCTACAAATGCTGCGTCCAGACACCTACTGTGTGTCAGCCACTAGTAATATGTCCACTCTGGCTGGAGTGAGAGGCAGCAATCCTGTAGCATCTGCTTTGAAAATGCGCCATGAACCAGACCTCTCAGCACCTCACCCCCACGGGGACCTTTCACTGAACAACCTCAGCAGCCCCGATGGTCTTCACAAGACAAAGCAGCCGCGGGCGCCCCAGGGCCCCCGTGGGTCCTGCCCATTCACGCAGCCCCGCCCCTCCTGGGGATGGGCTCACCGCCTTCCCTATTCCCTGGACAGCTGTGTGCTGCCCTCCTGGACCCGTGCCCCTCCGGCCCTTGCCTGGCCTGTGCCCTCTGTGTGGAGGGCTTCTCGCCATCTCATAGAGCTCATCCGTATTCTAGACAGGCACCCCCTTGCCACCCACTTCTCAGTTCTCCAGGGTCTGGGTGCTGTCTCCTGGAGGGGTGAGCCCCCATGGGCAGAGGATTTGTTTTGCTAGCCTCTTAGTCCCAGTACCTGCGTCAGTGCCTAACAATAGTAGGTGTTCAGTAATAATCTGGTGAATGATAAAAGCCCCAGGTAGCATGACCCCTGTGAGGAGAGCTAAGAAGGAAACGAATGAGGGGCAAGGTGGGCTGCTGTGTGAGCAGGGCTGGGGAAGCTGCCGTTAGCTGGGCGCAGAGGAGGGTAAGACCCAGAGGGCGGGGCAAGCCCGTGGTAGCAGCGGGGCAGAACCCCTGAGGGTGTTCCCGGGACTGAAAGGAGACAGCAGAGCTGGGCTGAGGTGGACAGCTGTGCTGCCCCGGGAGCTCCACCAGCCCGTGCCCCTCGAGTGCCTGGACATCCCAAGGGCTCTGCAGCAAGGGGACCAGTGCCCCAATGTGCTTTGTAAAAACAGGCTTTATTTCTTAGAGCAGTTCGAGGCTCACAGCGCTGAGCAGAAAGTAGAGAGTTCCCGTTGATCCCTGCCCCATCGGCCTGTCCACTGTCACCTTCTCCACCAGAACGCCCCGAAGGTGACGTCAGTGAACCTGCACTGACGTGCCTTTGTCGCCCAGAGCCCACAGCTGGGGGGCTCCCTCTTGGTGTCCACTCGCTGCATTTGCACGCGTGTGCCCCCATGTCACACAGAGTGGTCTCACTGCCCCGCTGCTGGGAGAGGGGGGCCCTCCTGCAGCTCGCCCCCGGTGCCAGAACCAGGGCTGCCACTCTCTGTCCGCAGTGCTGGCCTACATGCAGCTGCTCGAGGACTACTCGGAGCCGCAGCCATCCATGTTCTACCAGACGCCGCAGAACGAGCACGTCTACCAGCAGAAGAACAAGATGCTCATGGAGGTGTACGGCTTCAACGACTCCTTCAGCAGCGCAGACCCGCCGGACCTGGCGCCGCCCCCCGCCCTCCCTCCCAAGCAGCGGCAGCTGGTAAGCGGCCCCCCCCAGGTCCCCTCCCTGCTGCCAGGGCAACAGGCCTCCAGGAACCAGAAGCACCTCCTCCTCCTCCTCGGGGCAGGGGCCTGGGCTGGTGTGGAACCCCCATCTCCCACGTGGGGCTCTCACTTCCCCTGCGCAGCTCCCGTGCAGCCTGTCTCCTCTGCTGCTCCCCACCTGGGCGTGGGGGTTCCTCCTTCCTGAGCAGCCCATGCAGCTGGGACTGGCTTGAACTCAGAATGTTGCTTTCTCTGCTGACAGTCTCTTGCATTTGTTTCTCTCTTCTTTGGCTCCAATATAGACTCCCAGAAAAGAGGGACTCAAAGCACAGGGCATGGTCTGTGTAGAGCCATCTGTGGCCGATTTACATAATGGGCCTAACTAGACAGTGACTTACTCCTCCCCCCTCCCCCCGCCGGCCAGGGATGCCCATTGGAACAGGATGGCTTTAAATAGAGCCACGCTGTTGGGCATGGCACCTTCCTCCTCTAAAGAACACCGTGTAAGGCTCCACGCAGGCCGTGGAGCTCAGCTCTGCACGGGCAGGCTGTCCTGGTAGGCTCGGCCAGGCAGGAGAGCACATGGGTGTGCCTGCTGCGTGCCTCTAACCCTCTCTTAGCTGCCAGTTTACTAGCCAAGCGGACTCTGGTCAGGCACTAGAACCCAAGCGTCCTGCCCAGCCACGCTGTCCAGAAGAGCACCCCACAAAGGGCGTTCTCGTGCTGTTTTGCCCATTTGCTGGCCTGCCTGGTAGTGTTTTAACAAAGAGGGGGCCGGGGTGACCAGCTGGGCCATCCTCTGTCCATCACCAGAGGCCCTGACAGTGCTGCCTTGACTTTTCTGGGAGGCAGCTGCCAACTGTAGGACAGAGGTCCCTGGGTCACTCCTCCCGGCCACATGGGGCTCGGCAGTTCTGTGCTTGGGGCTTGAACCCACACCCAGCCCTAGGGGTCCCCGAGCCTTCCCAGCTCCGGAGGCTCCCGGGCAGACCAGACAGAACCACAGCCAGCATTTTGGGAAACAGCCTGTCTACTGGAGGAAAGGCCAAGCTTGGAGTTGGGAGTCCTGGGTTCCAATCCTGCCATTAACTAGCCATGATCACAGGTTGTGCTCAGAGTCTCAGTTCTTTACTGTCCTGCCCATCCCACGAGTGCCTGAACATGCCGGAATATGAATGTAATTGCTCTGAAAATCTTTCAGGAAGGGACCTTCTTCGCGGGAACCTAAACACTGCCCCAGAGACCCCTAACCTAAATGTTTGCTTAAACGTCTGGGCCAGATTTCATTGAGATTTGAAACCCGGCCCCTCTGCAGTGTCCACAGCTGCCCATCACTGTCCTTGGGCATCTTCTCTGTACTGTGGAGCCACAGGCCTCCGGGTGTTTGGGGACAGACCCCTAATGAGCACTCTAGGAGCCAGCCTGTCAGAGAGCTCCCAACCTCGCCTCGCTGGCAGGGCGTCCTCAGGGGAGCCCGGAGAGAGCCTGGCAGGGCCCGGGAACTGGGCAGACTCCACTAGAGCACCTCCACACACGGGGGCTTTCGTGTGGTTTCACATGATCCTTCCCCAGCCTGTCACCCCACTTCCAGTAACCTGAGGCTGCGAGCCAGAGAGACTTCCGCATAGCCCCCCCCCCCTCCCCCCCGCTAGAAGCAGAAGAGTTGGGGACAGCTCCCAGGCACATGTGTGACGCCCTCTGCAGGCTGCTCGGCACACCCTCTCTCAAATGCAGACTCAGGAAGTGTTACCCACTTTACTCACAAAAATGGGAGTAATAAGTACTCAGGCCTGTCGGCACGCGTACACTGTGGAGGGCATGGTTCTAAGTGTTTACGTGGATATAGCCCTCCAAGGCGTTATCCCTATCTTTCCAGATGAGAAGCCTGAGGCCCAGGGAGCTTTAAGTAATACCCAAGGTCTTCCTTAAATGGCAGGGCCCAGATTCAAACCCAGGCAGCCCAGCTTGATCTACACTCCGCTGAAGTACAAATAAGTCCATGGTCTACCCCACCAAGGAGGGCTGGGGGCCCTGAGGAGGTGGGAAAAGGGACTCAAACGCACTAGGCCTCTCTTCCCCCTCGCCCCACTTCCAGGAGACACTGTGTGAAAGTTAGCTTTACATCGATCGGAAGGAAGTGAAGGAAGGGCCAGGAGCCTTGGAAGGTCTCTGATCCCCAAACTGAGCCAAAAAGCCTCCCTCTCCAGAATGTCCGAGCGGAGTGGGGTTGCAGCCTACTTAGCCTTTGTGCATTCATGCCTGACTGTTCTCTGCTTTCTCCCTCCTTCCCATCTTCTCTCTCGTCCCTCTCTCTGTCCAGCAGGCCTCTTATGCTGCTTCTTCCTTCTCCTCTGTCTCCTACTGTGTCCAGCAAACTAAAGTGGCCTTCACCCCCGAGGACGGCAGTGCCACTCAGGGCATCAGTGTGTCCGTCTCTAACTCCTTTCTCAGCCGGCACGGCAACTTGCCCGTGCCCTCGGTGAGTGCTCCCTACCGCTCTGTACTCGGAAATGGTGGATGTGGTCTTCCGTTTGTAGCCGGTGCCCTCCCGACGCGTGTGCCCCTGCTCATCTCGGACTTTGCCCTTCTGCAGATCCCTGCACCGGATGGGGTAGGGGATGCGGGGATGGGTCTCTGTGCTCGAGGACCATGTGAATGGGGGGGTGCGGGGATGGGCAATGGTGGTGGCCACACTTGCAGCCATATCACTCAGGCATCGCCTGCAGAGCCGTTCTGGCCTTTTTGTTAAACGGGAATATTCCTCACAAAGGAAGCAAAGCCCAGGAGAGCAGGCTCTGCCAGGGCATGAGAGAGTTGGAGTTGGAGGGCTGTGTCAGTTAGCTTTTGCTGTGTAACAAACTACCCCAAAACGTAGTGGCTTCAAACAGCCGTGACCATTTCTCATTGCTGAGAACACAGGTTGGGAGGGGGATGGTACTGATCTGGCCCAGGCTGACGTTGGCTGGACTTGCTCGCATCCCTGGAGCCTCAGCTGGGACAGCTGGGCTGACCGCCATCCACACCCTCCGTCCGCCTCCATCAGGCCCGCCTGGGCTTGTCCAGGGCAGCTGGCAAGGTTCCCAGGGAACAAATGGAAGCGTGGAAAGTATCTTAAGACCTGGCTCAGACCTGGCACTCGGCCACTTCCACTGCATTCTCTCAGTTCAGCCACAGGGCCAGCCCGGATTCCGGGAATAGGGAAGTGGATGTGCCTCTTGGTGGCAGTTGCTGGCAGAGGGGATATTTGCAGCCATTTTTGTAAATAGTATCCTTCCGAGACTTAGGGACACTAGCTCCTTAGGAAGCATAGTGTTGTCTTTCACTGGAATCCACATCTGTCCAAAAACCTGAACAGCCGCTGTTCCCCTTCCATCTGCACCCGTGAAACTGGGGGGCGGGCGGGGGCTGGGGGACAGACTTAGGGAAGGAGCCACGTTCGGGTCCCTGCAGTCAGCTGGTCCTTGCGCTTTGTTGGTCCTCCCGCCTCGGGGTCCTTCCTGCTGCCCTTGGTTGGTCCTCCCGCCTCGGGGTCCTTCCTGCTGCCCTTGGCTTAGGGCTCGGAGTCCAGTCTTGTTTCTGCTCTGAGTCTCACATGAGAGCGCGGGCAAACGCCTAAACCTGCTGGGACCGCCCTCTCCTCTGACTGCGGTTGCCCCGGGGACCTTCCGAGACCTGGCCAAGCTCGGGTTCCCAGGCTGCATTGCTGGGCACCATCCAGTGCCTGTTGTGAGGACCTTGGGGTGCAGTCTTCCTCCGGGTGCCAGGGCCTAGCTCGCAGAGCTCTCCGCGTTCCCGCACTTGCCATGGAGAGGGAACACCCCCTCCTCCCCTTCCCCCGACCCCTGGCCTGTGCACAGACGCCCTCTGTTTCCGTAGCAGGCACTCTGGCAGGCTCCTTTCACAGATCGTGCAAAACTTGGCCCTCAGACAATCCCAGCTCTTGACTGTATTTGCCCTCTATGAACAGAAAGTAAGTGTGGATTATCCTAAGAGTATCTACAAGGTCCCTTTTGAGCAGTTCGGGGTTCCAGGGCTGTCAATGCACTGGACTGTTTGCTATGGCTTGAAAGGAAATAGGAGGGTGTTTTAACTAAGTTTGGGTCTGAGGGAGGCTGAGGCATCAGCATCAGAAATATACGAGGTGCTCAGCACCAGCTCCAAGAGGAGCCCAGGGAATGAGCTAAGGAAGGCCACCCGCCCCAGGCTCCGGAGCCGTGGGCGTGGCCTGAATGTCTGGAACACTCTTCACGTGTCCTCTCCACTCTAAGAGGAGCCCCAGACAGGGGGCTCGGCATTGCTCAGAGCGGCCCTTTATTCCCGACTTTCTTCATCCCTTGGTCATCAGTCTAGTGTGGAATTCCGAAGGGTGCCACTTGGAACACAGCGTGGTCAGATCTCAAGGCAGCTCACACTGTCCTTGGCCCAGTGACCTGCCACTTCAATCAGAAGATTCTAACCATCGAAAACCACTTTGCCAAGGGAATTTTTAGACCATAAACCTCTGTGGACCGATTTAAATGGAGGTGGGCGCCGGAAACATTGCTGTTCCCTCTTCCTGGGACCCCCGAGCACAGGGCCTCTCCTGGCGTGGGCCGGGCAGCGCCATCGTCCTTGTCCTTGTAGGGTTAAAGGGAAAGCACACGTGTGAAGAGTACCAGACGCGCTGCCGGCATTTGGTAAAGAGGGAGGTGTTACAACTTTATTATCACACTGAGAGGCTGCTTCCTTTCGGTTGTAGTCCGGCTGCTTTCCTCAAGGCTGTAAGTCCTGTAAGGTTAGGGCCTGGACTTTACATGCTTGCAAGCGTGGTACAGAGCTCAGTGCGGAGCAGCAGTGGCAGGTGCTCCGTGGTGCTGACCCAACCCAGAGGACCTGCTTCACCCACAGCATGAGCCCTGACCAAGGAGGCCAGCAGGGCTCTCCTGACCCCATCACCCTGCTTCCCAGCATCTCATCAGAACAAGCCACTGCTGACTCGTCACATGACGGCCTCGGTTCCCATGAATCAGACGCACTGCCCAGGCTGTGCCAGGAGCCCTGCTGCTTCCTCATTTCCCTCTGCTGACCCCAGAGGCTTTGGCTGCCAGCTGCCCGAGAGTTTTACAAATAGTTCCTGTCTGCTGGGCTCCTCGGAGTGTTCGCCCGGAGCCTTAATGCCCTTCCTGCCAAATGCCTGCTTGTGTGGCCAACGGTGCCTCTGACGTGTGAAGTCTGATCTGGGCTCCATCCCACAGGGAGCCTTGACACAGCCTTGGGGAAGGAGGTGCATGCAGACCAGCACCCCTCCTGGGTTCCGAGACCCTCAGGGACCACCTGAGCCCAGGGGCCAAACGGTTAGACTCCTGCCTCTTTCGTTAATGCTCAAGGCACTCTGGGTGGTCAGTGCTCTCGGACCAGCTTCGGACACAAGTGCTGCAGGGGACTTGTGGCTCCATGACAGCTTGGCCAGGTGCCGCCCCGGTCCTCAGAAAGGTTATGTGGGACGTGAGCCCTAAGGGTTCTGTCCACACACACTTGCCTCTACTCTCATGTTCTCCAGCGGCCCGTCGACCTGTCAGGGCCCTTCCTGCCGCTCTGTGATGGAACACTTGCCCACATTGCAGAGATGCAGACGCCAGAATGGAGAAGCCGAGCCATTTGCTCAGAGCTTAAGTAAGAGCTAAGGTTAGACTCCAGGAGACCATCGTGAGAAATCGTGTTGACGTTTACGTAGTGCTGATTTGCAATCAATATTGAGACCTGGGAGGGCTGGGTGAGGAGAAAAGTCCACACATCGGCTGCCATCAGAAGGCCTTGGTGGTGCCCTCCCTCCTGGGAGCACGCGCACACCTTCCTTCCCTCAGCTGCATCTCCTGAACTGAGGGTCCTCGAGAGACTTGCAGTGGGCAGCGGCAGCTCGTCCGGGGCTAACCCGCTGATCCTGTCTCCAAGGCCCCTCTTGTCTGACTGCTCAGTGAGCCGAAGCAGCCCAGGGGGGCCCTCTTGCTGCTTCTCTCCTAAGCCCTTCCTCGCTCCACTGTCCCAGCTTCAACAAACGGAGCCTCAAAATCAAAAGGAAAGAAGAGGCCTTCGTGTGCGTGCGTGTCCCTCCAGGCTCTGGATAGAGCTCTAGGAATAAGTGGAAGTTAGGGCCCCTGCATGTTGTTCAAATCCAAACTGAGGGAAATAGTCCAGTCAGATTTCTAGAAATGAATGCAAGTCCTTTTTTAAATGGTAGTAAACCTTTCTGTAAGGAGTGGTGCTGTTGAGGTCAGTCTTCAGTGACTGCAGTGCGCCCTCCAGTGTGTTGGAGGTTTTTGCACAAATACAATTAGCCGTGAAACCACTGGCCAAAATGTAATGTTTTCAAGGAAGATCTTGTGATTCCGGTTGCAGTACTATGTCAGGTGAGAAGAAAAGTACTAGGTCTCTACTCCTACCTGTCCTACTACCTAAAATTCTCCCGTGCAAGAGAATTGTGTCCTCTTTCATCCTTTATTATAAAATCCACATTAGAATTTTCCAGTGGTTTTAAAAAATAGACTCCAAGAAGTTTATTTAAAAATAGAGAAGATATGTTCTAACCCCACCACGATTCTGATGCTGCCTTTCTCTGTTAGATGAAGGCAGTGGGACCGACCAGGCCTCCTTGGCCGGGCAGAGGGGATCTGCAGTTGCTTGCTTCAGCCTCAGCATCTTCCCTTATGGAAAGTGGAGTTGTCATAAATGAACACAGGGGCATCTGGGACAGTGCCCCGGGGCCTAGGGCAGACCCAGGGGATGGCTTTTGCAGATGTGGAGTTAATCAGGACCAGGAAGGAGAGAGGAGACAAAGCCAGCACTCTTCCCTGCAGCCTACCTCCTGGGGTGACAAGCAGTGTCGTCAAGGGTCCTTCCTGGTGACCTAGATGGGAGCGATCACGTCCCATCTCTAAGAACCAGGTCCACGTGCCTCTCTGCAGGCGTCTCCTCCCTGGAGATCAGGGAGGGGTTGTGCGACGGCCACAAGCGGACTTCCTTCCGAGGGAAATAACTTAGGCCCACGCTGTGTGGGCACTCGGGGGAGCAATGGGCAGCGGCAGCTCGGAGCCAGTGGCCAGTGCTGAGCTGTGTCCCGGGGGAGAAAGCCCAGACCACACTGCAGCAGCTCCCCTCCAGTGTATTTTCTCACAAGTGGTGGGCAAGAATCGGAGCCCAAAACCAGCTGTCCAGTAGCTTGTCTGTTTTGCTAAGTAGCATCCAAAACACTGACACCGTAAGCCTTGCTTGAGCCAGGAGCATGCAGTGATGAGCCATCTCCGCGCACACTTCATGACAGGAAGTCCGCGCAAGTGATTGCGTTTCCTGTAATTGGTGGGGTTGAAGGTTCTCTAAAGCTTGGCACTCAAGGCACTGTGGAGCAGCCGTTCCGAGCGAGGCCCTCTGGCCTGTGGCTCCGGCCCACAGCTGCTGGCACACCCCGGCCTTCTCGGACGCCCTCAGTCTTCCTTGTGTTCAGAGGAACTCAGTGGCATGGCATGTTGGGGGATCAGGGTTTTCCATTGAAAGATCTGCTTTCTTGCCAGCACAACACAGGGCGCCTCCCTGGTCATTTTTCACTCCAGGACTTTAATGGAAAGCAAGTGTCCAGGAAACTGGTACCCGGCCAGCTTCGGTGACTTGGCTTTTTAGGCTGTGAGTGGCCACATGCTAACATGCAAGGTTGTCATCCCTTACACTCAGAGCCCTTGGTCCCCCCAGGTGTGTGTTTTCCAGGGTGGGTGTGGTTCTGGGGTCTCCTGAGGGCAGATCTCTGCCTCCTGGCTTTGTAGTCCATCCAGCCAGGCTCACTGCCTTGGCATGCTGGTCGTCACAGAAACTCAGCCAGGAGAGCTCGCGTGGTTAGGAGGCTGGTCCTGCAGGGCTGTGGCTGGCAGTCAGGGACTGTCACGTGCTCAGGACACTCGCTGAGTGTGAGCCATCCCCGCACATCACCCAGGAGCTGAGCCGTGTGGTACAGGGGTGTGGCCTTCCTGCCGCCTGTGGAGCCATGTGGTACAGGGATGTGGCCTATCCTGCTGCCTGTGGAGCCCTGTGGTACAGGTGTGTGGCCTTCCCTGCTGCCTGCTTCTTCCTCTTTGTCGTCGGGACCAGACCGCACTTCATGTAGTTTAAGTGAGATGGTTCATGCAGAACCTTGGGCACCCATCTGACCACCAGGGAGCATTCAGCAAGAGGAGCTGTCTTCATCATCATGAGATAGTCCATGTGGCCCTTTGAGGGACTATGTGATGGGTGGGGAGGTGGTGCCCCCTCTCCTAACGGCGCTCCTTCCCAAGAACTGGCTCTGGCGCTCTAGCTCTGCAGAAACCTCTGGTCCAGAAGGCAGCCACCTCTGTTTTAGACCCTCAGCCCCGCCAGTCTGCGCGGCTATAAATAAAGCTGCTGTGGAGAGGCAGCCGTCCCGTCAGAGGCAAGGCCGGGCACCAGCCAGACCCTAAAATAAACTTGGGGCTCTGCTGAAGTGGTGTTTCTGTCCAGCGGCCAGCTCCGCCTCTCTCCCTCTCGCATGAGTAAATAGGATCATGCAGGGCCTGGAAATACTCCGGGGAGGCCGGAGAGACCAGGCTTGTTGAAAATGGTCTGATGATGAGTCCCGACGTGGCCCTCATGTCTGCAGAGCCCCTGGAGAGGCCTGAGCTTTCTGGTGATTAGAGAGCAGCCCCTTGCAGCTCTCCGCCCCCAGAAGGTACTCCTCCAGCTTGGCTCCTGTCCTAACAGGACTGCATAGCTTGAATACCAGAGCTGCGCAGGAGCCCGAGGGAAGGAGGGAGGGACAGAGGGAAGGAGGGCAGGAGGGTGGGCACTTAGTCCTGGAGATGCGAACCTCCCCCCTTTCTCCTTGGTGGCTGTCCCTCCCCTGCAGAGCCCGCCCTGGTGCGGCCGGAGCCTCCTTCCCCAGCTCCCTCTGTGGGCCTGCACCTGGGCAGCGCCTGATGCTTGCCTGCTACCCTCCACCCAAAATTGAGACACTGCGGAGTCAGGCAGTGTTCCAGGCGCTCCAGGAATAACGTGAGAAGCAATCCCTAAGTCTTCCTCCATCCAGTACATCTGCTTGGCCCTATTACATGCCTCAGCTCTGCTGTGTGCAGTGGTTCCCAGGTTGGTATTGGGAGGGTGAGGGAGGACAGTGACGTGGATCGGGTGCTTGTCACGGGCCAGGCCGAGCTCAGCACTCACAGGGCGTCACCATTAAATCCACACAGAGCCTGTGGCAGAAGTGCCATTGTTTCATCCCAGGTGCATGTGGCTTGAAAGTGTGCCCTCCGAGCCATTACCCTGTCGCAGCTCCCAGAGAAGGCCCCAGCGGCGTGGGAGCCGCCACCCTGAGCTTGTCACATGAGACCTGTGTAACAGGCCACATGATCAGTTAGGAAGCGTGATGCGTTGTGATCACACGGTAACTGTCGTGTAAGTCGGGCTCGTGTGGCAGGGCCTGCTCAGTGCTCATTGCTCAGTGAGCTTGCAGGGGTGGGCTCAGGAAGGACAGTGTCGGGACTCTAGCAAGAGCTGGCCTTTTTGTCCCGGTCCTTCCGGCTGCTATTTGTTAACAAAACCCCACAGACTGGGTGGCTTGTCAGCAAGAGAAATGTGTTCTCACAGTTTGGGAGCTGAAAGTCCAAGATCAGGGTGCCAGCATGGTCGGTGAGGACCCTCCAGGCCCCAGACTTTTCACTGTATCTTCATGTGGCAGAAGGGCCAGCCTCTCTCTGGAGCCTCTTTTTTTTTGGTAATTGATTTTAGAGAGATCGGTCAACTTGTTGTCCCATTTATTGATGCATTCATTGGTTGATTCTTATATGTGCCCTGACCGGGGATCAAACCCACAACCTTGGTGTATCAGGACGACCCTCTGACCCACTGCACTAGCCGGCCAGGGCTCTCTGGAACTTCTTGAGGGCGCTGTGGCCACTCAGGCTCCACAGCCATCAGCGCGAGAGCCGCTGGGCTGGGGTGCGGTAGTATTTGACTTTCAAGGGCTAAGTCCAAAGAGGTTTACTTACCCAAAAGGTTCAACATGAGTCAGTATGACCTGGTATCTGACCGTGATGTTGAGCTTAGCCACCAGGTTCCTGAAGGACCGGAGGCATTGGCTGGCAGAGTGACAGCAGAGGACGTGACCGCCTTACAGAGCGGGGCCTGCTGTCCTTGGGGCGTCCTGCATGGAGACCCTGAGGACAGCGCTGGTCAGCCTCCAGGCCTCTCATGGGAGGATGCCCAAGGGTGGGGGTTGGCGGGGGGGCGGTACTAGGCCAGAGGACCCGGGGCTGGTTGGGCCTGGTCCGGGGCCTCCACGGAATTACTGTGAGCAGCCTGTCAGCTCCGCTGAGTTAATCTAATGACTTTCTCTCTTGTCTGTTTTCTTCTTCCCGTCTCCTCGTTTGTGTTTGTTTTCCCTTGGATTCTCTAGTATAAATCTGTGTTTAGGTCCTACTCCCAGGATTTCGTGCCTCACAGCCAAGCTTCCGCACAACCTTTCCTCCCGTCTACCTCCTCTTCCTCTCCACACTTCCCACCTGTCCACCAGTCTCAGAGCTCGGACTTAGCGCGGCCCGCCCCGGCCACTCTGCCTCCCAGCGCCGCGGACGGGCCTCCTCCGTCTTCTCAGGAGAGCACCTTTCATGGGAGCACTGTCTGCCTTCCTTCCGAAACCTCTCTCCCTGCCTCGCCCCAGACGCCTTCGGTGAGAACTCCGCACACCCGTGCGGGCTGCGTGTGTGAGAAAGCGGTGTCGCTGCTCAGGAAACCTCCGCTCGCGGTCAGGTGTGGGCAGCACGGCTAGTGCAGGTCCCGAGGCGGGCAGCCTCCTACAGAGATCCCGACACCGGGGCTCTGAGTTTCCGCACGTGGGGCTGCGGCCACTGAGAGGCGGTCCGTGATGGTGAGCACGAGGTAGAGGACGTGGCTCGTTTTCTGTTTGACTGATGGTTAGAGGAAGGCGCAGAGATCACAGACGTGCCTCTGGCTGTGTGCGGTCTGAGTGCGGGGCCCGCTCTCCTGCGCTGGCCACGGGCTGTGACCTTCCTCCGGGCAGGCAGGTAGGGCCGAGCAAACGCAGGCAGGGCATCTTCACGGCTGCCTCTTTCCCTCCATTATTCCTCCCCCACGCTGGGGACCCTGCTGTCCCCACCACGGCAGAATGGGGAGGTGCGCCTCTGAGGGCAGTGAATGGCCCGGGCCTCTTGGGAGAAGATCCCGCAGGAGGCGTGTGTCCCGTGGACACCAGCACGAGGTGGCCAGGCAGCTTTGCTCTGACCTGCGTGCACGCGGCCACCGTCTCCTCTCCCGTGGAAGGAGGTCCCGGCTGGGCTCCCGCAGGCTGCCCGCTGGGCCCGAGGCCGGCTGGAGGCCGTCACATGTGCTTTCCTCTCGTCCTTCTCCCCAGAGTGAAAACGCCAGTGAGGAGGCTGGTGGGGGTGAATACGTCAGTCTGTACTCCTCTGGCCAGAGCAGCGCGGAGCTGGCTCGCTCTCGAGGAGTAAGTAGCCTCGGGCTGCCTTGTGCATGCGGCCGCCTGGCAGGACTTGGCCCAGCTTCTGTCTGGCTGCGCCTCTCGGTCATCAGCAGGCCGGGCCCCGTGGGAGAGGACATGGCTTCTGTGTAGGTCTTCCCGTGGCTTCCGCTTCCATGCATGTGGCACTCCTCGAGCCGGGCCGGTGGGTCTTCTGGAATCTGTGGGGCCGCCTGCTGATGGCCTGGCCACGTCCGTGTGCTCTTGGGACTTCCTTCAGTCCCATCTTCTAGTGTTGAGGCCCACCCTCCATCCCTCTCCCACAGGGAGGCTCTCTCCCCACACGGAGCCTTCCACACTGTCACCCCCTCTTCCTGCCGAGCACCCCCTTCACCCCTTTGCCAGCTGCTCCCCCGGCAGCGGTGAGTCTGGCAGGGAGCCCTGCTGTGCCTCTGCGCGCCTCCCTCCTGAGGACCACCTGACACGGCCACGTTGTACCGCTGTCCCCGCTCCCGTCGACCAGGCTCAGCAGTTCCGTCAGGGAGTCAGCTTCCAGGTTTTGCTTCAGCAAAACATGAGCAAGTTCAAAAGCTTCAAAAATAACTCTCCCCAAGGGGATCCCCACAGGGTCCTAGATGTCCGCACAGGCTGCCCTGCTTAGTGTTAGCAAGTCCCTAGAGCAGCGGTTCTCAACCTGTGGGTCGAGACCCCTTTGGCGGTCGAATGACCCTTTCACAGGGGTCGCCTAAGACCATCCTGCATATCAGATATTTACATGACAATTTGTAACAGTAGCAACATTACAGTTATGAAGTAGCAACGAAAATAATGTTATGGTTGGGTCACAACAGGAGGAATTGTATTTCAAGGGCCAGAAGGTTGAGAACCACTGCCCTAGAGTATTGTGGGATTTTCAGTGCAGTGGGATTGGACCCTGTGTGTGGGAGCTTAGCTATTTCTCCCCCGGAGTTCTCACCTCACCTATACCCTTTGGTGCCCTGCCCCCCGCCCCTGGCATCATCCTGGGCTGGCCCTCCAGAGCCTGCCCCCACCTGGTGCATGCTCCATGCTGACCACTTTTATTGGAACCCGCTCCATGACGATGTCCCACAGGTTCTTGCTGCCGTTCTGTGCTGGCCTTGGTGGCAGACCAGGGATGCCGAGTGCCGTGTTGTCGCTGGGCGGGGTGAGCGGGTTCCCAGGAAGAAATGAGGCTGCTGGAGGAGGGCTGGCACTCGTACACGGGAGCAGCTAGACCCTTTGGAGCCAGCCCTGGGAGGCCATTGAGCACTCGGTCTTGGGGACGGTCTTTAGCCAGGTCCGCGAAGCTCTGCTAAGTGGCAAGTGGCTAAGGACACAGGTTTGGGAGGTAGAGAGCCCTGGGTTTGAGTCGCTGCAGCCTTCTAGCTGTGTGGTCTTGGGCAGGGCCCTTCATCTGTGTGTGTGTGTGGATGGGCAAGATGACACGAGCTAAGGGACAGGGCCTCGGTGTGGCAGCAGTGCCTGGCTGAGCTTTGCTGAGTAGTATCGACTGTGACATCCTTTCTCCCACAAGGCGATTGGGATGGCTTCATCTCGGTTGGCAGCTGGCATGTGTTGTAAGCAGTGGCACCTGCACTGTCCCAGAGGCAAGATGCTAGTTGAGAGGCCCTGTGATGTCTGTGCAATGAGCCGCGTTCATGGCAGCTGGCTCACATCTTGGACCCTCCCTAGGAACCTACACTCTAAAGCCACCTGCAGGCAGGAATGCTGGGAAGCAGATCAGCCCCGCGTGGGCACCTGTCAAACCCAGCACTGGCTTCTCTTTTCAGGAATCGCCAGCTGTGAGAGATGGACATCCCAGAGATCCCTCCTCGGTCGGCAATGCCCCCGGGAAGGAAAGCAGAGACGGAGAAAGGTAGGGAGTGATCGCGGGGGCCCGGAGTCTGCTGGCAGGAGGCTCTGTGTCCACGTTCTTTCTTTTTTTGTGACTCTCACTTTTACATGCTCAGGGTAGAAAGCATGAAAGTACAGAAAAGTGCAAGAAAACAGGAGAAATCACAAATAACCCACCGTGAAGGCCTTCATTCTGTCCTGCAGTCGGCCATTACTTGTTGGTCACCTGCACACCGTTATCCACCTTACTGACTGCCGTGGCGGGCTTTTGGGTCCTAGGCAACGTCCTCGACCTCATCCAAGTTCAGGTGCAGTGAGGGAGTGAAAAACATCCCCCAAAGTTTTTACTTTCTATAGGTGCACTGTATACAGTGTATTCTTAAAACATTTGAAAGTAAGTTACAGAGTGACTCTCAGCTCCTAAATACTCCGCATGCCTCCCAAAAATTTTAAATGCCTACCTGATGACAGTACCATGTCACACCTAAGAAAGTAATACACTTCCTCATATCAGCACACTACCTGACAGGTCCCTGATTCTCCCTAAATGTCTTGTATGGCTTATTTTTTTGGAACCAAGATCAGTCAGGAGTCATCGTTGCATTTAGTTGTATGTCCCTTTCACCTCTTGTAGCATTTCAGTGTTAGTGTAAGGCAGGCCTGACCAGGTCTGAAACGGTAGGAGATTTCTCTAGTGTGCTCTTACAGGGTATACTGAGCAGGGCGTGCACCCGCAGCTTCATGATGGCACCTCTGTGGAATGTTCCATGCACAAGGTGGGCAAAAGGAGGCTTACAGTTATGAGTACATGAAACACAATTTATTCTTGTATTGTTATTTAATTACTAGAGCCCTGGTGCACAAAATTCATGCACCGGCGGGGGGCATCCCTCAGCCCGGCCTGTACCCTCTCACAGTCCGGGACCCCTTGGGGGATGTCCGCCTGCTGGCTCAGGCCCGCTATCCCCAGGGAACGGGCCTAAGCTGGCAGGCAGACATCCTGCTAGTAGTCTGGGACACCTCATTCCTTACCGCCCGCCTGCTCGCTGCTCCTTAGCGCTCGGCTCATTGCTCCTTAGCATTTCCACGGAAGCGGGAGAGGCTTCCACCACCGCTGCTGCACTCGCCAGCCATGAGTCCGGCTTCTGGCTGAGCAGCGCTCCCCCTGTGGGAGCACACTGACCACCAGGGGGTAGCTCCTGCGTTGAGCGTCTGCCCCCTGGTGGTCAGTGCACATCATAGTGACCGGTCGCCATAACAGTCGCTTAGGCTTTTATTATATAGACTGGAGGCCTGATATATGAAACTCATGTAAGAGTAGGCCTTCGCAGTCGTGGCTGCCTCGGCCCTCGCAGCCCCGGCTTTGTCCGGACGGTCCGCTGTTCTGCCGTTCGGTCGATTTGCATATTACGCTTCTATTATTATAGATTGTATTAGTTTCCATACAAACAACTGTAATCCTACTTTTGCCCACCCCTGTATTCAAGCTTTTCCTCCCTCTTTAGGCCAAGGTTCAGCTACCTCGGGGGTCCTGGGTGTAAAGCTAGGCCGTACCCAATGTCATTGTCAGGCCCAAGCATAAATGGTTGAAGAGGTGGTAAAAATAGCAAGAGACCGAAGAAAACGATTAGAAAGCATTCTATAGGGACCCAGCCTGCTCTCAGCCACTGTTCTGTGTCCACAAAGAGTCTGATTCACATGCCGGCTAGGGTCCCCGGGTGTTGAGTAAGGGTGGCGGGTCTTCTAGCTTCACACCTAGTGGCAAAGTGTGCCTGTGCCACACGACAGCCCTCATGGGTTCCATCGAGCTCGTGGGGCCTGAAGGTGCTGTTTCTTAGAGTCCCAATGGCCTTGGAAAGGAAGCAGAGGGTGGGCACACTTACTGGTTAGAAACATTGCTGGGATGTTGTCCTCTTTCCATAAAAGCCACCCCCAGACGACCTTGACAGAGAGGCGGACAGGGTTCTTCCCAGGACCACGCAGTTTTGCTCTGGCCCATCCGTGTTGGCACAGGCTTCTGTCTTAGACACTTCGGGTTAAAAATGTGGCCTGTGACCACAAGGGCAGCCAGTGCCCACAGGATCCATCCTGAGAACCCTACGTATAAATTGGGAATATGGGAGAAAACTCAGGGAAAGTAAGGCATCTATAGACCCAGCGCCCATGTCCCCCAAATGCCTCCCAGCCACCCACTGCTCCCCTGTTGGGGGGTCTCTCCTCCCCCTTCACCGGCCCACTCCTGCTCAGCTCTTCAGTCTCGGCTTGTCTGCCCCATCCTCAGGGGCTTTCCCTGCCCTTGAGACTAGGCTGGGACCCTGCTTGTTTTTTGTTTCTTTTTAAAATATATATTTTATTGATTTCAGAGAGGCAAGGAGAGGGAGAGAGAGAGAGAAACATCAATGATGGGAGAGAATCATTGACTGGCTGCCTCCTGCACGGCCCCCACTGGGAATCGAGCCCAAAACTCGGGCATGTGTCCTGACCGGGAATCAAACCATGACTTCCTGGTTCATAGGTCGATGCTCTACTGAGCTACGCTGGCCAGGCGACCCTGCCTGTTTTAATGTCTGTGTCTCCTGCTAGACCCAGCGCCCCAGGACAAGGGCAGGTCTGCCAGTTCACGCTTCTGCTTAGTAATGGCCCTCGGCAGCGACGTGGGCAATGGCACTAAGGTCACTCGAACTCTCGCCCATCCTGCCTGGCCACTTGCTGTTCCTCTCCTTGAGCACTGACCGCACACGGTGGCCTTGATGGAGTAACTGAGACCAGCGCTGAGGGAAATAGATCAGTGGAACCTTCTCCATCCCCTTGCTTAGCCCTTCTGTTTGCAGCTGGATCATCCAGGGAGAGCAGAAATGTCCCACAGTCGCCTGGCTCCTGAGGGCGGCGGGCAGCAGGTCTGGCTGCCACTGTAGCTGTGATCAGGGCTTGCCCAGGGTGGTTCCCACGGCCAGGGCTGCACGGTTTCACCTGACCTCATGGACCCAGGGCCTGTGGCACTTGCAGCACAAACCACTTGTCCCGCAGGGCCCTGAAGTCACCAGATGGTCCCGAATCGGCTCAGTCGGAGGAGGAAGTGGACGAACTGTCCCTCATCGACCACAGTGAAATCATGGCGAGGCTGACGCTCAAGCAAGAGGTGGGTACTCGCAGGCCTTGGTGCAGAGTCTGGCCGGTGACGAGGGTGAGGGGCTTCGAGGAGAATGGAACCGGAGGTGTACCAAATAGAAGGGCCCAAGTGAGGTGCTGCCCCTCCAGGTGGCTGCTGGGATGTGGGCTCCGTGCACCTCTTCCATCCTGGCTTAGCGCCCCAGCCACCGTGGGTGCCACCAGGTCCTGGGCAGATGGATGAGTAACAGGAGAAAGTGCCGTCCCTTCTCTGAACATCTGGCCAGTGATCTTGGGCCGGTTAGCGGTCACCTCTGAGCCCCAGGTGGATGGTTGTGAGAACGAAGTCCAGGTAAGGTGCTCAGCACAGGGCTGTGGTGGGTGCACCCTCGTGTTATTGCTAGAATGACCCACCAGTTCCAGCAGGCGAGACACAGCTGTTGGGGTCTCAGACTGCCTCCATCCTGACTTGTCAGAAGAGCTTATTGGCAAAAACAGTGCCCAAGCCTGTCAAATCCAGGGGAGCTACCCTGAGAGAGGATTGTGTCTCCCCTCTGCCCTGCGGTGCTGGAGACGCTGAGGAATGGCAATAACATGGCCCGCCCTGAGGGTGTAACCACAATCCTGGGCTCCTACTCGACGCAGCACAGATGCACAGACACGTGGAGGGCGGATCCTGCCCTTTGCACACTGGGCGGGCAGGCGGAGCCGGCCAGGCAGGCAGGGCTGACGGGGGCGTGGACAACGGGCTCCTCTACAGGAGAGGTGCTGGTTCATGACCCTTCCCAGAAATTTCTTCTGAATAGTCAGGTCATGGGCATAATCACCCCCACGCTTAGCGGGAAATCCCAGGCACATTGAGGACACGAGCCCAGGAGCGAGAGTGAAACCCGGGGGGCATGTGCGTCTGCAAGATCGACTGGGGAGCCGTGAGCGAGGTTGTGCTCCTGTCACAGCAAGGGCGGCCGGGCCCTGGTGGCAGCTCTCTTTGGCTCCAGGCCAGGTGAATAAGTTAAGGCCTCGGCGTGCTCACCTGGAAATAAGGCTGTTTCCTTAACTGGCAGACGTCAGTCACAGGCATCGGTCCTAGAGCAGTGTCAGATGTAACATAATGCCTTTGTGACACTGTCCACTCTTCTATGAAGGGCTCCCCAGAAGAACCCGTGACATGACAAGTGACGTCTCCCACCTAGGAGCAGATGTAGATTTAGGGCAGCTCGCTGCCGCGCTGGGAGCATGAGCAGCTCGAAAGAGTCCCGCTGCCTCACTTTTCCTGGGAGAGGCTGGGATGGTCCTGTCTGCCCCCTCTGGGGTCCACTGTCCCCCCGTGTGTGAGAACCGCCCTCCTTGCCTCCCTGACCCATGGGTTGGTGAACAGGGACGGGTCAAACGGTGCCGTGTCCCCGGACCCAGGTGTGTCTCAGAGCAGTGTGCCCCAGGCCGACGGTGTCTGGGCAGCCTCGGGGCCATCCACCTTCCAGATGAGTTCCACTCTGTGCTTGTCTCCCAGTGGAGCAGGGAGGGGGTGGGCGTGCCTGGCCACACTGGTCCCGGCTGAGGGAGAGCTGAGGGAAAGGGACCTGCGGTCTCTGGCACAGCATCGTCGTCGTGCCATCCCTGCCGTGGCTCTGAAACGGGCTTCTCCGGCTGCGCTGTCCTTGCAGGGTGACGACGGGCCCGACGTCCGGGGAGGATCTGGGGACATCCTGCTGGTCCACGCGACTGAGACAGACAGGAAAGGTATGGCAGTGCCTCTGCAGTGGCCTCTGTCCGTATCAGCTCCCTGGATCTGGGCGCGTCCTGCCCTCCCCTGCCCTCCCCCGCCCTCCCCTGCCCTCTCCCGCCCTCTCTGCCCTCTCCCGCCCCCTCCTGCCCTCTCAGCCAGACCTGAGTGGATCAGGAAGCAGTGACCCTGGGTCATCGTAGTTGGAGCCGCCTGGGGAAGCAGCAGTGAAAACCAGGCCTCTGCTTCCCGCCTTCTTGGAGCGTGTCCCCCCCGTTGGTGTGAGGCAGTGACCCCAGGACCCACAGGGGTCGGGAGGGCAGGTTTCAGGTGCAGAGCTCAGCTCCACAAACGGTACCTCGAGTGAAAACGTGCTCCACAACAGTGTTAAGGTAGCTCGCAGGTGGCTTTTATACTTTCCCCGATGTTTGCGTGACATTTCATTGCAGACTAGATGGGGTTGCATTCACGTTCACCCAGGGGCTTCAGCCCACAGCAGGGGTGCTGCCTCCCCAGGACGTGTTCCTGGCCCCTGAAGGGGAGGAGCCGCCTGTGGGCACCACGTGCAGGCAGGAGAGCTGTCCTTCCATCCCGAGTTCCGCCAGGGAGAGGAGGCCCGAGGAAGGCCTCTGACCTTGGTCAGGACGGTGACACTCATTTTCCTTTTACATTGTAAGTTATTGTAAGAATGATGTAACCACAGTGCTAAAGTGAGGTGGAAGGAATGAAACATCCTAGTCTCTTGAAACCCTAACTCCCCAGTTTAGTTTTTGTAGATAACCAAATCCCTATGTTTTATAGCAGATTTCTCAAAATATGATTCTGTAAACTGTTAAATTATGAAAGTAGTACAAGAACAATGTTTACATCGCAGAAAGTTTGAAAAATAGAAAAAGCAGAAATGGCTCCCACAGACTCACACAGCCACTGTCTTGCCCTCCAAAGGGGTCCCCCCTGGTGTCTTCTGTCTGGGGCAGAGCCCAGGCCTGGAGACAAGTCTGAATCCTGGCTGTGCCCGTTACAGACCCGGGTAGCCACTGGGCACAGCTCCCCTCTCAGGCTCAGCTTCTGAAGAGGTTGGTAGTGCCCAGAGAATGTGATGATTGAACGCACGGACATGGAACAGGTCTGCACAGAGGGAGTCTCTGGAATGTCCCCTCTGGGCCTTGGGGACAGCCGTGGCTCTGCTCTGCAGGGAGCCCTCCAGCCTCTGCCGGCAAGAGGACCGATTTTCCCTTTGCCCAAAGGACAGGGCTGAGGGGGAGCTGGCTCCAGTCCTCGGCTCTGAGCAGGGAACTCTGCTGTCCTGCCCAGTGCATCAGCTCTGAGCAGCGAACTCCGCTGTCCTGCCCGGTGCAGCCAAAGACTTGCAGTTCCTGCCAACTGCCTGGGCGAGGAGGCGAGGAGGCGCCACAGACAGCTGGGCTCCTGCTTGGTTTTGTTCATGGAAAGACTTTGAGGCTCCAGGGCTCCAGAGCCATCTGTACCTGGGACGGATTGCTGAGGCCTGGACCGCACAGCCAGCTCCACAGGTGGCTTCCTGCGGACCAGAGACCATACCAGTGGCCTTGGACTGGGGGGCCCCGCAACTCCAGGCGTGCAGACATGGGTCCAGTCTTCCAGAGCAGGCATTGGCTTGTGCTGGGCCCATCTCGCTTCCTTGCCCACCCTCTGAACAGAAGCCCAAACTTGACATAGCGGGTGGGTTTGCGGTCCAGGAAGCAGCCTAGCGTGCCGCTGTGGTCCCTGCTCTGACTGCAGCCTCGACCTCCCTCATAACCCGCTCTTCCAGCTGAACCCCCAGCAGGTGTTCCTTTTCCTCTCCTCTGTCCCTGGAGTGTCTGCAAGGGCAGGGCAGGGGCAGGAGCCAGGTTCGGCCAAGCCTGCACTCTTAGCCGGAAAAGTGGGGAGCCATGAGGTTTTTCCACCGAGGGAGCTGGGGGTGAATGAGAAAAGATGGGGCAAGGTGGCCTGTGTCCCGACCAGAACAGCTCGGTAGCATGTGTGCGGGCACGAGCGCAGCCTCACGGGGAGGAGCACGTACTTTGGAATCGAATCAGGACTTGAACCTCAGCTCCAGCTCAGAAGAGCTCTGACATTCACAAGCCTGGCCGGGTTGTCTGTCTCGGGAGTGACCTACATTTAAAACATTTCGCCCCTTTTTTTAGTGTCAGGGACTGTGTGGCTGGGAGGGGAGGCAGCCGCACGTAACGGGGCTGAGCCCTCCAGAGAAGGAGGTCGTGTGGGAGCTGCCAGCCCAGGCGCCCGACTGCTGGAGGCGGCTCCTCCGGGTGGGCCTTGCCCTTCCCTGGCACCCGCGCGTGCCACTGCGTATTCCAGCAGCGTGCCAAGCTCTGCCCCTTCACCCTTCCCTTAGCTCTCCCGTATGGAAGTTCCCAGGGTTTGTCCCTGGGCCCAGCCTCCTGAAGGCATGACCTCTCTCTGACTTAGCTCCAGAAGCCTGCTGCTGAGGTTGAGTGATTCTCTCCGTGCCCATGACTCAGGGCCTTTGAATGGGGGGGTCTGAGCTCGGTGTCCACCAGGCGGGGGCACATTGCAGCCACCTCGTAACCACGCGTCCTTCCCTCCAGATCTGGTGCTGTACTGTGAGGCCTTCCTGACCACCTACAGGACCTTCATCACCCCCGAGGAGCTCATCAAGAAGCTGCAGTACCGATATCCTTCCCACTCCCACGGCACTGCAGGCCCAGAGCTGGAGAGGGGCCCGGCCACGCAGGGCAGCAGGCAGGGAGGCGGCCCCACGTCCGGCTTTGGGGCCTCAGGCCTCCTTCCCACCTGCCAAAGGGCTGTGTGAGGTGTGCTGTGCCTGGGACAGTGAGGCCGCGGGGGCAGGTGGCAGGTGGCAGGTGGCATGTGGTGACGGGTGATTCTGAAACCATTAGAATTGACGCCCTGAGGGCGGGAACGTGGAGGCCCCTGCAGAGACCCAGCAAGTTGGCACCTGCAGCTTCTGAGCTGAGCTCCAGGGCATTGGGGTGATAGTTGCAAATGTGCGGATGAGGGAATGAGACTCAAATGAACAACCTTGGGTAGGCATGGCCACTCCCCTGGTGGCAGACGTGGCTGTGGACAACTGCACGTCCACGACAGAATGGCTCCTCCCCCTCCACATCCACCCATGAACCACCTTTCCCAGGACCACTCACTGCCTGCAGTCCTGGCCCAGGGCCCATCCTGCCCCCAGAGTGGGCCAGCCCATGGTCCACTGCTCCTTGGCCCCGTCCTCGAGTCATAGCCCGTGACTGCCATCTGCTGGACAGCACTGTCACTGGGGTAGGAAGTCTGGGGCTCCAGCTCCCTCCCATCCTGTGTGCCCTGAAGCATCCCCTGCTGGCCACCTGTCTCCCGCACAGCGTGCCTTCCACTCTCCCCTTGCCCTTGCCCGAGGTCCTGGCCCCTCGGCCCTGAAGTGGAGGATCCCGTCCACAGAGACAGGCTCCCCAGCCTCACACATTCAGTTGCTCGCAGGCCTGAAGCAGCCAATATGCTGCCGATAGACATACGCACGTCCTTCCCGACACTCCCATCACCAGGCGGAGCGGAGAAGGGTCTGCAGGGGACGCAGAAAGTGTGGCCTCGGGAGCTGCTGGAGGCGGTTGGGTGTGAAGGGCTGTGGGGGAGGCGGGGTGGGGGTGAGCTCTGGCTCTGGGAAGACATGGGAACTCATGGCAAGAGCAGGAAGCACGTCTGGGCTCTGCACCTCCCCGCAGCCGGGGCTCAGGCACCTGCTTGTGACCACTGTCCTCTACTCGAGGCTCAGCCAGGCAGCCCCTGGCGCTTCAGAAAGTCTAGCAGGAACCGCGGTTGAACCCGACAGAAAGGTGGGCCTGGGCGAGTGGTAGAGACGGTTCTGCGGGCAGGAGAGGGAGTGGCTAAGGACAGTCTGAGGTCTGGGTTGACACCCACTTTACAGGCCTGTGCCTGCCTACCCCTCCCCCACCAGTGGTGGCAGTGGTAGCCCTCAGTAAATGGTAGCTGTCCCCCATCCCTCCGTGTGAGAACAGCTGTTTCTTTAACCCACGCTCCACATACGAGAAGTTCTCTCCCTTCGCCGACACGTTCAAGAAGCGCGTCAGCAAGAACACGTTCTTCGTTCTGGTGCGGGTGGTGGACGAGCTGTGGTGAGTGCTCGGCCCTCGGATCGCGGCCACGGGGCGGCTTCTCCCCTGCGCTCGCCATCCTGTGACGTCCCGCCTGCTCCTCCCCGGCTACGTGCCCACAGTTCTGGACAGGGCTCCCCCAGCCTGCTCCGAAGTGACCCATCCCCGCAGGCCAGCCCTGGCCCTGCCCTGATTTCCGGCGGGGCCATGCTCTGCCCCCTCCTCGCGCTCAGGCTGCAGTTCCGTTATTGGCAGAACCCATCACGCCGGCCCTTTCCTAGGCTGGGAAGGAAATGCCCGGGCCCTGCCTTCTAGGTGCTTCCCTTCTGCTAGTGCGGAGCCTGGCCTGTGCCCCCGGTTGTGGCGAGGGCCGCGCATGGGAGGTGCTGAGCGTCCTGTGGCATCGAGTCTGAGGCCAGGACCGTTAGGGAGTCCTCCCCGCAGAACCAGGAGCTCCTCGGGGCAGGGCTTCCCGGAGGTTTGTCTCCTCAGCCCAGGCCCCGCATGGCCTCCAGGCCTGTCTGGGGCCAGCCAGCATTTGCTGAGAGGATGGTGGTCACTTGTTACCACTGGGCCACCCCCAGCACCTGCAAGGATGCGGGCACTGTCCCCTGTCCCTGTGGCAGCAGCCCCCTTCCCTCCTCGTGTCCCTACCTCACCTCGTGGCCTGGCCCTGCAGCCTGGTGGAGCTGACAGAGGAGATCCTGAAGCTGCTGATGGAGCTGGTCTTCCGCTTGGTGTGCAACGGGGAGCTCAGCCTGGCCCGCGTGCTCCGCAAGAACATCCTGGACAAGGTGGACCAGAAGAAGCTGCTCAGGTGTGCCCATTCCGACCAGCCCCTGGCAGCCAGGGGCGTAGCAGCCAGGTGAGCTGCCCGCGTCCGCCCACAGCCCCTCTGCCCCTGCCTCCTCTGGTGAGAGCTGTGCCCAGCAGCTACCTCTGCGCCCGTTTCCTTAGTGCATCTCCCCAGCCCCAGCCTCATGCCCCAGTTCTGCCAGGCCCTGACGAGGTGGCTCAGGGACAGCCTAGTGGGTTCCCTGGGCGCTGAGCCTCTTCCTGGGGTTGTGAGTAGCATCGGTGAGCCACCTTTTACCAGGAAGTGGGGCACCAGGGCGAGTAGCCGCTTACCAGGGCCAGAGACAGATGGGCTGTGGTCAGCTCTTAATGAATTTCCTCCCCAGCACTCAGGTGGCCGCTGTTAATTCTCACCCAGCCCTGCTGTGCCATCCTGAACGTTCCCAAGACCCTGTATGTGGTTCCCGTGTGTTGCCTGCCCCTCTACCCGAGCCGGAGATGTTTGTTAGTGACTGTCTCCGCCTGCGTTCGCGTGGCACCATCTCTGTCCCCCTGCACCCTGCGTTCTCGGGCAGCTGAGCTGTCCATGGGCTCACAAGGGGACCTGCAGGACCCGCCCAGTAGTGGCAGGAGACGGGGCCAGCACCATGGTCCAAGCGGTCGCTCCCTCCAGTCCTAGCTGCGAGGCCCTCTGCTCCAGCTGTCCCTGTCCATTCACCTCGGGCGTCTGTCTTCCAGGCCAGGGACCCTGCATGACTTTCACAGCCATGAAATAGCCGAACAGCTGACCCTGCTGGATGCCGAGCTCTTTTATAAAATAGAGGTACGCGTGGGCGGGGCTCGGAGGAGACTGGCCCTGCCGGGGGAGCCACCGCTGCTTGTCCTTGAATGAGAGAAACTCCCATCACGGGACAGCCAGCGGGTCCAGCCCCACCCAGTCTACTTCCTTTTTTCAGATTCCTGAGGTTTTGCTTTGGGCAAAAGAGCAGAACGAGGAGAAGAGCCCCAACCTGACCCAGTTCACGGAGCACTTCAACAACATGTCCTACTGGTAAGGCCATGGCACGGAGCCCGCCCGCGGCAGTTGTCCTGGGCAGAGCTCCGCTGCTTCATCCCTCAGCTCCTTCTCGGCCTCGCGGGCGTTAACTGTGAACTGGGCAGCAGAGCAAGGGGCACCTAGAGCAGAGGCTGGTTGAGGAGCCAGGCGCGGCAGGGAAAGGTCCTGGAGCGAGTGCCAGTGTCTGCAGACACGGGTGACGTTTGCACACACACACACACACCCTCCCCCGCACTGGTCCTTGCAGTCTCCCCACTGCCGGGCGGGCAGCCTCAGGGCTCCTCCTCACACTGACTGCCCGAAAGCGGGCCTGCAGGAGTGGTGGCCATTAATACTTTCGTGTAGCCTTTAATCGGTAAAGCAAAATGGAGCCCAGAAGTGTATTAATAATGTAACATAGAACAGAACTGTCGGCTCTTCAAGGCATGACTCAAAAGCGCCCACAGCCTCTCAGCATCCGAGAGGTGGTCAGGGCGCGGCGGCCGTGCCGTCCTCACTGCATACAGCCCTCCGCAGCCATCGAGGGGTGGCTGATATTTTTTAAACGCTCCACGGGCTGCTTGTTCGTGATAAATCAGGTCATCCCCAGCTTTCCCTCCTTTCTCCCCAACACGGCACGGCCGTTTGTAGCCACACGTGGCCCTGAGCTGGCCTCAGACCCAGCCCCGTGCTGGGCACAGGTCTCCCAGCACACCCCTGGGGGTCCGCCTAGGAGGGGTGCAGGTGGATGAGTGTAGGCGCCCTCCAATGGGCAGAAGAGGCAAAGCAGAGGTGACCCTTCCTCCCAGTGACTGGCAGGGGCTGTGGGGAGATCACAGGGCGTCCGGGTCACCGTGAGGTCCTTGTGCGAGGCTAGCTTTGCCTTGGATGCTAAGGTTCTGAGCGGTGCCCTCGTTCGTGTCTGGCAAGGTGGCCTCTGAACCCACAGGCCTGCCCCCGCTGAGCTGGTCCTGAGGCTGTGCCAGAGTCCATCCCAGTGGTGCTCGCTCCGCTCTGCTCAGGAGAGCTCTGCTGGCATCCTCAGAGCCCGCATGGCCGGAGGTCCCCATCCTGGTGTTTGGCACCAGCCGCCAGATCTCTTGTGGCCTGTTGCCTCTCCCTGGGGTTCTGAGAGCTCCTGAGAGCCAAGACGGGCTGCAGTTGGTGCTGCCAAGCCTGGGGCACTTGAGACAAGCCATGGAGCGTCCGGCTGGGCCGTCTCCACCAGGACCGCACGGGGCCCTGAGGGAGTGCAGTCAGCTCAGCTCTCCTTCCCCGTCCTGCAGGGTCCGGTCCATCATCATGTTGCAGGAAAAGGCCCAGGACAGGGAACGGCTGCTCCTGAAGTTCATCAAGATCATGAAGGTAACTGAGCCCCGCCCCGAGCCTGCTCCTCAGCCCCGCCCCACCCCGCCCCACCCTCACGGCCCCTCGCCTCTCTCTGCAGCACTTACGAAAGCTCAACAACTTCAACTCCTACCTGGCCATCCTCTCGGCGCTGGACTCAGCACCCATCCGCAGGCTCGAGTGGCAGAAGCAGACCTCAGAGGTGAGCTCAGGACAGGAATGGAGACTGGGCTTGGGTCCCTGCTCTGCCAGCGCCCAGCTGTGTGGCGGGGACAGCCCACCCCCGCCTGCCCTAGTCCCTCACCTGCAGTCATTGGGCCCTGAGGGGCGTGTTTGGTGCTGGGACATCACATCGTCCTGCATCCTTCGCCACAGGCTGTGCCTTGGTCCCAGTGCACCTGCTCCTTCCTTCCCTCGGCCTGTGCTTCTAGAAGGCTGCTCTGGGCGGGCTGCATTAGGCATTGTGAACAGACAGACATGCTATTGGTGGGTTTCTTCAGGGTAAGTGCTAAAGGGAAAAGGATGGGGTGTTGAGTGAGCCTGGTCAGGGAGGCCCTGGGGAAGTGTTGGTGAGGCCAGGCCCTGAGTCGGAGCTTCCTGGGAAGGGAGGGGATGCCCATCAGGGCCAGAGGAGTGCACAGACTGGAGCTGGCGCCTCAGGCAGCAGGACAGGACCAGCGTGGCCAGTGGCCATGTCGCTGTGGGGGACTGGCCCTGATCACGGTGGCCTTGGGGGCCTGCCAAGGGACTGGACCTTTATTCTGTGTGGAGGCCCAGCCCCCAGGGCTGAGCATTGGCTGGGCCGCCCGGGGCTGTCTGGAGTGACATAAGAGGACAGGTATAAAACAGTATTGTTTGGGGAAGTGGGACCTCCACACCCGTTGCTCCAGGAAAGCATGAGGTCCTCAGGAGGCAGGGATGGCTTCTTGGAGGAGGTGACCCATCAGAGGGAGAGGCACCTAGCAGGCAGAAAGGCAGGATCAGCTGAGTCTCCCAGACAAGAGCCCAGGCTGCGTGTAGGAGCAGTGAGGTGAGGTCACCTGCCAACCTGGCGGACTTGGCCTTGAGCGCAGGGAGAACAAAGGAAGGCTCGGAGCTGGAGTGGCCGGTGCGGTGTGGGCCTTAGAGGCTCACTTGGGCTGTAGTCGGGCACAGCCAAGCGGGAGCCCGAGCTCCAGGTCCTGTGCACGTGGCGGGTGCTGACGGGGAGGAGTCACGGGCCGAGCAGGCACAGCAGGCCCTCTGCAAGGTGCTCCGGGAGGTGGCCCCAGAAGGCCTGGTCTCCCCGCGGCTGGGCAGAGCCCAGGTCTGGTTCTGGGTGTGTGTGTGTGTGGGTACCCTCGAGCATTGGCAGAGGGTAGGGGACGACTTGGTCTGCGAGGAGGGGCCGGGCTGTGCCCAGCATTGTCCCAGGGCTCACAGACTCCACGCCCCTCCTGCACAGGGCCTGGCTGAGTACTGCACGCTGATTGACAGCTCGTCCTCCTTCCGTGCCTACCGGGCAGCCCTCTCGGAGGTGGAGCCGCCATGCATCCCGTACCTGTGAGTAGAAGCCCTGCCCGGGTTTGCCCCTCGGTTGCTCTGGAGATGCTGTATTGGGCTCCCTGAGAAACCCGCGCTAAGGGTCCAACCAAGACATTTATACTGTCTCAACTCTAAACTGTGTGGCAAGGAGTGCCTTTTACTTTTAAGCAGAATTGCGGGGTCCCGTGAAAATGTTCCATCCCCCTGTCCTGTTCCCACTTCTCCCTGGCCTGCAGGCAGCACGTCCAGGCGCGGACAGGCGGCAGCCTCCTTCCCCCGCAGTACATGGTGCCATATTCCACAGGCCTCAAACTCGGCTGCACGCCACAGCCACCTGAGGGCCCGGTCACCCCAGGAACCCTCAGAGCACTTGGCATGAAGCAGCTCAGAGAGCGTGTCCTCCATGTGGGCCCTGGAAGAGGGAGTACATAGGTGTTTCCTGGGGAGGGACCCTGTGGTCAGTAAATACAGGAAGTGACGGCAAATCAAAGCTAAACAGGCTTCTGTTGCAGGTCTGATCAGAGCCCTTAGTATGCTAGTGGGCACGGAGTCTCCGAAAGGGATGGGAGAGTCAGTCGGCACTGCCCCAGGGCTGGGTGTCTGATGGGATGTCCCTCAGAAACGCAGATTGGACAGCCGACTCCTCTCCCAGCCTCCCGGCCTCACTGCACTGCACTCTTTCCCGTGGGGGCTCGGTGACGGGTCCCTGGGCCCTCAGGCTGGGCCTCCCAGGTGGAGGGACTGCCACCACTGGTCATGTGGCTTCACGTCCTGTGTTTAGAGGCACCTGCTAACAAGAGGGCTCTGTCTCCTGCCCACTCCCAGCTTGGGGTCCTGTTATTTCTCATGTTCGTTTATGGATTTTACATGAGCAAGCCCACAGCTCTGCTGGCTTCTGCTGCAGCGTCCCGTTCCCCGATGGTCCTGCAGGCCAGACAGTCACCGAGGCCTCCGTAGCAGCCCGGCCTCCAAGGCTCCTCCAGGACCTGAGCCGCTTTCCCGGGGACCCAGGGTTTGGGAGCCGGGACTTCCGCTGGGAGAGACAGATGCCTCCCAGAGCGCTGGTGGCTTTGGTAGTTTCTCAGGCACAGCCCAGGGGCCGGGGCCGCATCAGCACTGGCTTGTCCTGGTGGCCCAACCGACGTGCCAGGAAAGCAGCCACCTTCTAAGTCACCTCCGGAGGGTAACTGGGCTCTCCATCCTCCCAGGGGGCTCATCCTGCAGGACCTCACCTTCGTGCACCTGGGGAACCCGGATTATATTGACGGCAAAGTGAATTTTTCCAAACGGTGGCAGCAGTTCAACATCCTGGACAGCATGCGCTGCTTCCAGCAGGCGTGAGTGCTCCCCGCCCTCGGCTCCTGGGGCCTGAGCAGAGACGGGAGGTGGCGAGGACCAGGCTGTCAGGAGGCCTGAGGGGCTCAGCACGGAATGGCCCGTCGCCTGCACACAGGTGGCAGCCAGCCCGTCCCCTTTCCCATACAAGGAAGCTGGTGACTGGTCTGCTGGCACACTATGGCCCGCCGGACGCCAGAGTAGTGGGTGGGCCCAGCGTCAGCAGTCCCCAGGGTGGGCCACGGCAGGAGTGGGGCCTGAGAGCGGGTCTCCCTGGAGCACCTGGAGAGGGCAGCCCAGCTGCAGGGATGCCGCTGGGGAGACCTTGCAGGAAGCAGGGCACAGCTTTAGGGTCTAGCGTGGGCTCTGCGTGCTGCTGACCTTGTCTGGGGAGCTCGGACCCCCCGTAGGCCGTGGGCAGCAGGGCGCCTGCCACAGCGGTTTGCTGGGTGGTAGGGGGTTGCCGTTGAGAGGTCGTGGGCACTCACTGCTGCCTTCCTCCCCACCAGGCATTACGACATCCGGAGGAACGACGACATCATAAACTTCTTCAACGACTTTAGTGACCACCTGGCTGAGGAGGCCCTATGGGAACTCTCTCTGAAAATCAAACCCAGGAACATAACAAGGAGGAAAACAGACCGGGAGGAGAAGACCTAGGAGCAGCTGCCGTGAGCAAGGAGGATGCTCACAGAGGCTCAGAGTGCGGCTCCGAGACCCGAAGGGACTTTGGACCTGTTGTGCGGCAGCAGCGCTGTTCCGGCCTCCGCCAGGGGGCCAGCTGGGCAGGAGCCCTGAGTGCGGGCAGCTTCCTGCCTCCTTCCTCCCACGAGCAAGCCCACGGCCCGGCGCGGAGCCAGCAGGCAGGTCTCATTGCCGATTGTGAACTGGTGGTTTTCTCATTTGGTTTTGCTTTCACGTCCGTCTCCCCTCCCCGTCCCGCCTGATCCTCCTCCCACCTGGGAGCCGCGGAGTCTGCCCCCTCCCTGACTTCCAGGGTCCGGATCTGCTGAAATGATGAATGAGTGGAGGTTCAAGGACCCTGGGGGGGCTGCTCCCCGGTGACCGTGAATGAAGGGACATGTAGCTGGGTGGGCAGAGAGCAGAGCAGGCTTGGGTGGGGCTCCTTTTGCCTTCCAGCCCTGCTTTCTAAGGTGGAGGATGGGCGCCGCTCACCTGGCCCTTTAGGTACGACAGGTGGCCCTAGCACCGCCCTCTGCCTGCGGGCACCGGGCTGCTGGCCGTGCAGTGAGTAGCAGTGGCTGCCCTCTCCCCTTGCCCTTATCTGCCCACCCCGTCACCTGGCACTGAGGGCGCTGGGAAGGGGAGGGTGGAGCAAGAGAGGACCTTACCACCCAAGAAATGCGTTTTAGCTGAGCTGGGTTCGTAGCTCTTGGGTGAGTTAATTCAGAGAGAGGGGAGTGGAGGGGCGTTTCTGTCTAGGGGGAGGCCGCGGGCCCCCTCCTGTCGCTTGCTGTGTGCCTTAAACTCCACCTCCTGCTCCCTCCGGCCCACGGGCTCCCCTCCGACCTTGCTCCATCCGGTGGGTGACAAGGACTCCTCCCCGGTGTCCCCACCACTGTTGGCTCACCCTCGGAGGGACGGTGTCTCTGAGAGGCCAGGGTCTGGGCTGCCCGGCCACACCCCAGAGCAGGCTCGCTCGCCCGGAAAGCACCTTCGAGAACAGTGCTCTCCGCCCTCCTGTGCAAACCACTCTTGCTGCTGAGGTGACAATCCGAGGCCAGGTCTGCAGGCCGCTCTCAGGTGTCGGCCGGAGCTCCCACGCGCCGTGGGCTCGGACGGGCCTGCCTGTGCGCTCTGCTGCGCGTGGTGGAGTGCTCACCTGTCCTGGGGTTGGCACCTGGTCACGCAAACTCCAGGACTAACTGTGCTTAGCCCAGAACAAAGAAAAGGAGAGAGCAACATCCGTTGATTATTAAGATTCTGTTTGTAGAGAAGCCATGTCACTTTGAGTCCTTCGTGGTTTTGATGAGCTGTTATCAGGAGCAAGGCTGGGCTGGCCTTCCCCTCTCGTTTGTCCGGGTGGAGGGAGAGGCTGAAATGTCGGTTACGGTCCCTCTGGCGGTGGTCCTGCCGGCCGCGGCCAGAACACGTCACTTTACTATTTAAGAGTGTGTGTGAGTCACTGTTTACTGGCAGTGCAGCGTGTGGGTGGTTTATAGGCTGTGCCTCGTTCCTCGGTCCTCGTCTCAGTCTTCCCAGCCGCCCACTCTGCCGCTGCGCTGGGCCCTCGGGGCTCCTCGGCGATGGGAACCGGGGTTACCCTGCATTTGGGGGCACCCCCGGGTCTCCCTCCATAGCACAGGCAAAGACTCGGCCTCAGAAACCCAGCCACTCGCGGACAAGGCGTGTTTGCAGCCTGTCGGTCGGTTCTCAGCCATGAGCTGGTGGGGATGGGGTGGGGGCTCCACTTCCCTCAATTCAGAGGTGGCCCTGCCCCCCCTCCCCAAGCCCAAGGTGGTCCGCACAGAGGGCCAGGCACCAGCGAGCGGCGCCGCGAGCCCGGTGTGAGGACAGCAGGTGCCATGTGTGCGTGAACTGACTGGCCGCGGGCTTCCCCTCCCGTGCCTCATTAAGACGCCCTCTTGGCTCCGGGAGTTACCAAACCCCATGCCAGCACCGCAGCCCTGCCGTGAACTGTCTGTCTTGGGGACAGGGTGTGGGGCTTGATCTTCAGGACAGACAGACAGACATGACCAGGACGGTTGGGTTCCCCGCAGGTGGGTAGAGCGAAGGAGAGGGCAGGCTGGCGCCACGTCTGAACTGAACCTGAGAAGCACCTCCCACCACCACCCACCACCCCGCCCCCAGTGTTACATTGTAATATATATTCCCGACTAACGGCTGATAGGGCAGCTTCCTGCAGACATTTCAAATGTGTAACTTTTATATGAGAGGAAAATAAATACAGGTGACAGCCACCTGTGTGCTACCACGTGTCAAAGTGATGGTTGTCAAAGTGATGGTTCAGGCGCCTCCTTTTCTGTGGCTCCTCTCGGACTGGCTGCTGTTGGGGTGGTGTCTCCCACACTAGCTCCTGTCAGAGGCCTGGGCTCCATCCACCGTCAAAGGCCTCGAAAGCAACCTCAGAGGCTCCAGGTCTGTCCATGCACCAGGCCAGGCTTCGAGTGCAGTGGCCATTTGGTGTCCCAGGGGACGAGAAATGGCCCTCACTCATTTACACCACCACCCAGGTGTCCACTGGGTGCATCATTCCGGAACCGGTGAGGTTGGGTTTGGGTCCTTTAGTCCTGCGTGCTCAGAACATGCTGGAGGGACATGGCTCCTGGCTAATGGGCTCTGGTCCTGGCTCCGCCGCCCATAAGCCAGTGGCCGTGGGTACGCGGTGCCTTCTCTGTTCCCAGCTGCTCAGCTATAAGGGGCCCTCCCAGCTTCCACCGCGTGAGCTCAGCGAGCCACAGCCTGTAGCAGTCTGGTGAGCTGTTGCCACTGGTACGACTCACCCAGCATGAGTGGGCACCACGCACTTTGCAAACAGCTTTACCTCATTTCATCCTCTTCATTTAATGTCACACGAGGGAAATACCACAACCATGGTAAGTGCTACAAAGAAGAGGTACTTGACATTACACAGTTAAATCTGGTTTGAAATCCACTGGGATAGCAGGTCCTGACGGGCGTAACAGGTACTTTATGTCAGACAGACAGGAGCGTCAGTCTCACACGAGCCCCAAGAACAGCAAGGGAAACACTGCTTGCCTCATTTCAGGAGTAGAATACAACCTTGGCGTCCAATCCAGACAAGGACAGCGCAAGAAAATTACAGGCGAATGCTGACGCAGAAGCGCCAGAGTAACCTTAGCCCCAGCCCGGCACTAAAAACCAGTCCTCCCTGACCATGGGACGCATCCGCAATGCAAGGACGGAGTGGCATTCGTAAGTTGGCCGTGTGCTTGGGCACCCATGTGCCCTCACTAAGGGCCCTGTCATTCATCCCAGTCCCGGGCCTGCTGGCTGCTGTTGGCGGTTCTGCAGAAGTGGATGGATGTCCCCTTGAAAAGTTACAAATGGAACTGCTTTTGACCCACCGATCCCGCCTGGGTAAATATCTGAAGAAACCCCAAACACTGTCCGCTGCAGCATTATCGACAACAGCCAGGATCTAAACGCAACCCATGTGCCCATCAAAGGACGAGTGGGTAACAAAGCCCTGGTGCGTGTATAGAGTGGCATGTACCACTCAGCCCCCGAGAGAATGCAGTCTTCCCGTTGTGACAGCATGCGGGGCCTAGAGGGTGTGGTACTGAGTGAAGGAAGCCAGAGAGACAAATGCCATGTGATCTCACTGATGCTCAGAGTCTAAAGAACAAAATGAAGAGTGGGTGTGCCTCTCCCGGCCGTGCAGACTCCAGGGGTTGACACGCAGAGTCCCACGTGAAGGAGCCCAGACTGGGCCGCCCCACCACCCACACTGGACTTCGCGTGAATGAGAAGGGAACTGTGCCAGCTGAGCTACCGCCAGAGCTTACAGATTTTCACAGCGCAGCCCTGCCGCCCCTGAATGCGATGAGCAGATGAAAGGAAGGACACTCAGAACCACCTCCATGGCCAGACTTTAAAAAAGGGCACCAGCTTGACCAGGGACGTCATACAGAGACTCCGAAGAGCTGGTAACAGGCTCCACGTCGTCAGTCATCGGAGCCACGCTGAGCCACCGCCACAGCCTCAGCCCCAGAGCTGCTGAACCGCACGCCACGGCAACACCAGCGTGGAGAGCGCGAGCGACTGGAAGGCCCTCCATGGTGGGTGGGAGCGCAGCCTCTCCCTGGGCTGAGGTGATAGCGCCACGGCTTCCTCCAGAAGCTTCCTCAGCACTCGGCAAGCACCACGGTGCCACCCCAGCTGGCCGCAGACATTCCACCCCGAAGCCAGCATTCTCTCTCGCTGCACACGTTCCATTTGCCCAGCCGCTCCCTCCAGGGCGCGTCCGCACAGTCACTCACGACGCCGGCCGTCTCCACACTGGCCCGGAGCCTCCGGAAGACAGTCTCCACCACGGTGAGCCCTAAAACTGGGCCTGCTGAGGCCAAAGGCAGCGCATTTTCTTCATTTTTAATGACACGACGTATGAATCCCATCGTCAGGTTCAGCCATGCGTGGCGCCCCCGCTCCTGGTCCCCGGGCAGCCACTGCCAGCAGTTTGCAACTTCCTTTCAGACAGTTCTTTGCACATGCGCGAATGTAAGTCTACGGCACATACCTTATCGACAGGCAGACACCACAGTGTACTTCCCACCACAGGGAGGCGGCAGCCGTCCTGATCTGTCCCCAGCCTGGCCAGGACCTGTCTGCTTCTGTGGGACCGGATCTCTCGACCCCTCCCTCTGTGGCTTTCCAGATTCCCAGGGCCTCCCCAGCTCCCTGGTTACACAGCACCCTCCTGGGCTCTCTCCTGTGTGTGGGACTCCTAGACTCTTAGCTCTGTAATCCAGCTGCAGTTCACTTTTCCATACAATTTGAGAAGAATGTTTTCCAACCACATAGCCAACTGCTTATTCTGAGTCCTCCTTGATCCACTCAGTTAAAAGGCCGTTTTGATCGGGTAGTAACTCCCCACACACATGGGACGTTTTCTGGATGGTGTTGGCCGTGCTGTCTTAGGTATCGTAGCTCTATGATAAGCTGTAATAGCCAGGGAAAACAGTCCCCTCATTCAATTCCCTAACCAATTGTAAGTTTTTACACATTTCCCTTCTATTTTTAAAAACTTGTGTTATAGTTTTAAAACAAGAAAAACGGTTTTCTTGTTGGGATTTCATTAAATCTCTAAGAATGCTACATATTCTTATACATCTTCCTATCCAGATATTTTGTTCAATTTTATATATATAGGGTGTCCCCCCAAAATGTAGATACACACTTTGAATAATTATAAAGGCAGTGCTTATTAAAATACATTTCATTTTCAAAATTGAGCTATCAGCTGTTAAAGTGTATATGCATTTTGGGGGGACCTGCTGTGTATATAAAGTTATATATGTAATTAAAAATCATTTTCTTCACTTGGGCCCAGATCATTCTTGTCAAAGTTATTTCTAGATTTTACTGTTTTATCACTACTGTGAGTGGAATTTTTCAAAAATTTTTCCATTTTAACTGATTATTGCTAATGACTATCACATTTATTTTGTATCCAACTATTTTACTGAGTTATTCTAATTTTTTCTTTGATTCTTGGATATTACAGCTAGAAAATCGTTTTGTCTGTTTTGACAGACAGATTGCAAGTTTCATACTACAAATTTCACTTTGTTGTTTTTTACATTAGCTAGAACCTTAACACAGTGTTGAATAATAGAGACACTAGGGGCCTCCATGGATTGCTCCTGAAGAATGGTTTTTAGTGGTTTTAATCCCCATTTAATGTGCCGTTTCCAGTCGGCTCCTTAGCTTCTGCTTCACTGGGAGCTCATCAGAGATGCGGACTCTCCGCTCCCACGACCTGACTCCGAGCCTGCCCTCTGCAAGATGCCCGCGCTTCGTACCCGCAGAGCAGGGCACAGTCCAGGGACTTCTTTCCTTGGAGTTCACTTAGTTCAGTACGAACAGCTGTTGCTGTGGGTTCTGCAAATCCTCTGCACTGTTCCTCCTCCTCTTCTGGGCCGTTTGCATGAGGGTGACTGACATGCCGACTGGCCCAGCCCCCAGCCAGCTGTGCGCATCGCTGACGCCCTGGCCCAAGGCTCCCAGCATCTCCAGGGCTGAGTCAGGCATCTGCCTCCGCCCGGTGCCAGGAGCCAGGAGCCAGGGCTGCGGGCAGCACCCAGAGGTGCAGAAAGCAGGTGATTGAATGCGAGCTGCCAGTCTTCTCTGGCCCAGCGGGGCCTCTCTCATCTCCGTGCAGATGGTTTGTCATCTTGAGTCACAGGCCCCTTGAGAACCTGGTGAAAGCTCTGGGCCCTTGCAGGAGCGTGCCCATCAGTGAGCGGCCTCCCATCTGCTTAGCGGGAGGTGCCCGGCTGCCCTGCTACTCACGGTGAGACCCTCAGGCCCTGCCCTCCCCTCCCCTCCCCTCGGGCTGTGGAAGACCCTATGGAACCGCCACCATCACCACCAAGAGCACCTGAGCCCGGCACTGTGCTGAGCACCCACGGGTCCCCTCCCTGGTCCGCCCAGGGGTCCAGGGCAGGCCACTCCCTTGAGCAGCGAGGAGCTCTGAAGGCCAGGACTGGACCAGCCAAGGAAGTTACTGTAGGTCACAGTGCCCCCTTCTAGTGAGTCAAAGGGGGAGGTATGGGGGCCCAGCTGTTGCCCCCACTTTGCAGATGAGGAAACAGACACATGGCTTTGGTTTCTGGACACAGCGGGTGAGAGGCAGGGCCCTGACCAACCAGCCAGGAGCTACGGAGGGAGGAGGCCACGCCCACCAGCCCCATGGGAACCCGAACCCGCAGCAAGGAGGCCAGGAGTGCAGTGCCCCTCCCCCACCCTGATGGCACTGAGGACACAGACTTCTGGTCCCTCTGACGGTCTCCTGGGGGTAAGGTGAAGGCAGGGGCCTCGGGCCGGCCAGCAGTCCCAGGAAGACCTCAGGAGGAGGCACCAAAGAAATGGGGCTCCCGGGGCCCCCATTCCTCAGCTGGGCCTGGGCCCTGAGACCACTGCAGATTAGAACACTGCCCCTCAGGGCTGAGGCAGCCACGGGTGTGCTGAGTGCGCCAATCCCTCCCGCTCCTGCCCCCGGGTCCCCTCTGTAGGCAACAGATGGCCCAGCAGGGATCACAGTCCACAGCAGTCTGGCAGGGTGGGTGTCGGGCATCCTGATGTCCCGAAGCAGCCCCCAGCCTCACGGGAGGTAGAGGGCCACCAGCACGTAGATGACCCAGCTGGTGGACACGAAGACCCCGAAGAGCAGGCTGAACAGCACGAGGGAGCGGGCCTTGCGGGAGGCCTCCTCCGCCTGGGCCAGGTCTCCCCGGCTCA